CCCATAACTTAAATATGGTCTTGGAGGGTACATATTTCTGTTTATTGTAGAAGAGTATTTTGGATTTGGTGTTCTCAAGGAATATACTGGTTCCCTAAATATTTCTGGTGAAGGTATTCTGCGACGGATTTCAGGTGAAGGTATTCTGCGTCGGATTTCTGGTGAAGGTACATGTGATTCTACCTGTTGACGACGTCTTGGGACTGGAACTGGCCTTTCTAATCTAGGTTCGTGCTCGTTGGGCCCTTGCTGCCATCCCAATTGCTTTGTCTGCTGTTGTGTATTTTGATTACGTGAATAATCACGTTTTTCAATGTGCTCATTGGGACCTTGCTGCCATCCCAATTGTGATGTCTGCTGCTGTGTATTTTGGTTACGTGAATAATCACGTTTTTCAATGTTTTCCTCAACATTTAATCTGATACTTGGTTTCGTGTACCCTAATTCATCTGTTCTATGAATTTTGTCTGGCTTAAACTGTCGATCAATTGAAAAATCTTGAACTCTATCCTGGTCATCATACTTGGTTTGTAGTAATGGTTTTCTTTCATCAGGTCTTGACAATTTTGTTGAATACTGGTGGTCCCCATACTGCAAAGTGTAATTTAAAGGCTTGCTCATCGCTGAACTGGGACGTGATAACTCACGTTTGACTTCCTCAGGCTCAGGTTTAAGCAAACATTCATCAGAAGGTGTGTCAGAATCTGAAAAGTCATTGATTTCTGCTTCTCGTCTTGCATATTCCGAATGAAATCCAGATGTTTTAACTTCACCATAATCAACATAGTCTTGTAAATCATAACTTGACTGAGTCCGTAATTTGTATTCTTGTAGCTGTATAACTGGTGAAAAATCTATCAAATCCATCAAGGCTTCAGTAATTCTTAGTCTTGGTATTTCAGAAAGATGCTCAGGCTGAATATTACCAAATGTCTCTCTCATAGACATAATCTTGTCAGCTGTGACATTTCCAACACCAGGTAACAATAATAATTCTTCATAAGTACAGCTATTAATCTTTGTACGCTCCTTCTGAAAAGCTAAGTCTGCCATTATGTTATTATAACACAAATACAATTCAATTTAATCACTGGTTGCTGAACCAGAAAAAAAAAATTAATGTGTATGTGCTATGTGGCTAACCACACAAAAAACGGCTAATTTTTCCGAAAGTGGCTAGTTTTCTCCAAATTGCTCTGATAACGGCTAATTTGTCTAATTTCTACACAAAACGGCTAATTTTAGCAAAACGTAAAACAATTTTCGAAAATAAATTTGCAAACACTGTAATTAACGCAAGTTTTTATGCTTATATTATCTCCGTGTTCAAACACTTCATAATATACCAAATATAGCAATATGAACTTCGCAATTACACGTGACGTACTCACTTCTGTGTCTCGATTCAAATCGTCTTTTAACACAGGAAACCCTGCTCGCCAAGCGCCAGTGATGTGATTTCCGAGTATTATCACTCAATACTAATACTTCTAATACAATGAAATGCTCCTAATTGTACTAACTTACCAAATATACTCTGATACTCTCTGGTTAAGTTCTAGTACAGGCGTTCTCATTCCCGCCAATACGCCAACTCTCGTTACCTGGTAACTATCTGAGATCTTATCCTGAGCTGGGTAGTTTACCATGGATCATTCCGGGAACCGGGCTACGCGGTATATCTAACTACCGTACTGTCTACATAGTAATGTCACGTCCATTATACCATATTACACAACACTGATTTCAATTGGGAGATGACTTTCCTCGTTTATTTAATCTAAGGTTACATCCACCCACGTCCTTTGATTCTAGTGGATGGCTGTCTCATTGATAATCGTACCACATCTCCATATTTTATATAGAACCCAGAATATGATGTTAACTGACGTTCCAATATCATGTTTAAAATAGGAAAATGTTAAGTAATATTAGATAAATGTCAGGGTAAGTTTTAAAACAACTTTAAATAGTTTGATTTTTGATGTAACATGTCTTCTGATTGGTTGAAAGTGTTTTGCATAATTTTGTCATGTGACCGTGACGTCACCAACGTTTTTTTCAAAATTTACTCCTTAAAACTGGAATTTAGAATTAAATTATAAGGAATTACTGTAACATTTTTTTTCCCTGTCTATTCGAAATAACCTCAAAAATGTGGTGCACACCTGCACCACATTTTTTATGTTATTTCATCATAGACAGAAAAAATATTACAGTAATTCCTTAAATAGTAAGTGAAACTGATATGTTAACGAGCAAAAACGTATTTCTATTTTAGTAATCTTGTTAATAAGACTAACCATTATTCACGGTAGGTATAGTGCCCGACTGAGATCGTGTTTTTTCGAGTGATATTACATGTGATTAGATCGATTTACTGCTATTTCGCGAGTATAATAGTTTGATTCGTGACTGTTCATTTATTCTGAATGCTATACATTTTTTTAGCACAAACGATGCACAATTTCCTTGTTGTTCACTTACAATTCAGTGTTTTATATTGTCCGTGTTTTTTCGAGAGCAACATTTAAAACGTCCGGGTTTTTCAACAAATGGTCCGGGTTTTTTGAAGAAAAAAAATGAGAATAAGTAAGAAGACATTTTTGGGCTTAAAAACTGACTTTTTCTAGTTTGTAACTGTAATTTAGCAAAGGACAATATTATATATTCTTAATAAGTCCCAAAAACATATTACTATGTTGATCACATTTAATCCTTTTCATTTTAATAATAATTTTCTGTTCTGAAAACATTTTACCATAACTTTGCAATATTTTGATATATAAGAAATCACTGTGTCCCTTTTAAAACGGTCTTGAAAACAGAGTAGAGGGCCTCATAATCTTTTCCATTTCATTTCACTCTACCTTTGTTTTTACAGTCAATAATATTTTATGATTGATATATAATATTACAGTGAGAAAAAAAAACATAGGAGCAAGAAAACTAAGGAATTACAGTTAAAAAAATACTTACAATAACATTTGAATTGATGGATTATCTAATATAAAATGAAAACAAAACTTTATAAATTTCATGAACGCTCAAAGCCGAATATTTGAAAGCCAAGGATGTAGGAGAACCGAAAAATTTGAAGAGCTATATGACTAAAAGGACCTGAAAAATAGCCAAATCCATCTAAGGTCAACTTTGCCTGATGGAGTTGAAACCTAAGTTTCTACATAATTTTTAAATTTATAAACCGACAATTTTTAATGATTAATTGTTGGCTGCTTAACGTCCAGTGGAAAATATTTCATGCATGTTCAGGACGAGAACAAATTAACAATAAGTCCAATAGGTAGATCCTGTAACATAGGACGTTCGGGGTGAAGATCGAGAAATTTAGACTGTCACTGACAATGAAGGTATATTAGATATAGACAGAAATGTTGCCTTGCAACAGGCTTACTACGAACCCCTTAACGTGCAATGAGCGTGGCACTCTCTCTACACGCCTCATTCTAACCGGACGTGGCTGTGTACTTAAACATCCCGCACAGTCAAACGGACGCCGCACTTTGGCAAGGGTTGGCTGGTCGGAAGAGGATCTAAGTGACAATTTTTTTCTATTCCCCAGTCCCCCTTGGAGGTACTTGGTTTACAATTTTGGGAAAAGTTGTTATAAATCGTGTCAGTACCGAAGTACTGACTACTGAGCTGATGATAAACTCGGGGATTTATTCAATGTATTTAATAAACAACGAAATAAATAATCTATAAGCTTTAATACGATCCTTTTGAAATAATAAAAAAAGGAAATGTGTATATTATATGCGTACACCTCACAAATATATATTGTCAATTTTTATTCGTTTAATTTAGGATGGAAATAAAGCTATGATAGGGCTTTATTTCTGTGTGACCAAGTATAGCATACGCTTGATCAGACCCCTCTTCACAGTGACAGTATTTTGAACATTGTTCTTGATTTCCATTCTAGAACGATATTACCATCAAGACAAATAGTGAATAAAACATTTAGGATGCATTTTTTGTTAAAAACACACATTTACCCACTTTACACACTATGTGCACGAACGTCTCAATCCAAAATGTCTAAGCTGACATAAAGATTGTTAACATCACGAAATATTTACTGTACGAAATCCATTTCCGATTACAAATGAACGATGCATTTTATGAAATGTACGTGTTAATACAGCATTATCAAACTGGTGTAATGCATTGTTTCGTACTTTGAAAAGTACTTTATTCGAACCTTTTCCTTGTTTTGTAAACGTAAATGCACTGACATTTACATTTTAAGCCATAGGAATTTTTTTTACTCGATAAAACGAGGACGCACTCGAAAAAAACACGGACTGCTCTCGAAAAAACAAGGACTGCACTCGAAAAAACACGGACATATAAAAATGAATTTACTCTCAAAAATGTCCTTATCAATGCAAAAGCAAGAATTTTTGTAAAGTGTCTGTACATCTAAGTACATATAGATTCCATGTATCCATTTCCGTTGACATTTGCATTAGTATGTGTATAAAAATGGCTTTAATCTATATTTTGGAATAAAGCATTGTAAGGCTATATAAAACGTTTTTAAAACAAAATAATGTAGGGTTGAAAATATCTTTTTACCACAAATACTGTTTTACCTTCTATGATCTTGTATATAAGGTTCTAGCATCCTTTGCGTCTTACCAGAAAGGAAGTCTGTTTGTTTACATTTTTGATAATATTCACTCGAAAAAAACGTGGTCACACTCGAAAAAAACCCGATCAAATCACTCGAAAAAACACGATCCCAGCCGGACACTATACCTACTGTGTTATTGCTAAATTAAAGACAGACTTTGGTGCAACATCACCTCATTTTAAAGTTATTTCACCTGAACCTAAAACTTAAAAGTACAACTGCACCTTACCTAGAGTTTAGTGATTATATTATACATTTTGTTGTAGTTGTTATTATATAGTACATATATACTGAACAGTTTAATTTGTAGCAATAATTAATCATTTTTTTTTACTGTTAGTTTTTTCTAGATATGACATACGAGCTGGGAATTGTTTATCAGTGGTTAGAAATGATATCGGTGGAAAGGGAGTAGACTCTTACGAGGCAATCCCTTGTGATCGACATTTGCTTCTAGTTTGTCAAACAGGTATGGGGAAATTTTCTTGGTCCATGCACTGATTTAGATTTTAAAGGGTATGTATTTCACGATCGCCAGTTTAACGCCACAATGTCCTGCTTTTTCGGCATTCAATCATCATGGTGTATCACAAAGAGAAAGATAATGATAGGGGAGTTCAGAGACTTTGTGCGATATGCTCTCTTTTCAATCAGATGTTATATTTACATTTTGTAAACGTGAGATTTCGAAGCATTATTTTTTTATAACATGAATAAACAATATATATTTTTTTTGTAAATATAATTATTCATTTCAAACTATTTTTCTGATGTGGATCTCTTTTTTTTAAGTTTTCTTTTTAAAGTGTTCTTGTGTTTGTCATAATCCTTTTCGTGTCCTTTCATTCGTGCCTTACATAGTCTGTTATTTGTCAGCTTGTCTTACTATTTTATGTTATGTAGAACTTCGGTTGGAATCATAAAATATTTGTACAAATTAGAACTAAGTAGGAATATCATCAAGTAAAATTTTATTTTGAAATAAGTATGCTTACTTCATAGTCACTCTTATGTCCCTATAATTGCATTCAAAAAATCAATAATTTCTAGATCTGAGTTATGGAAGAGAATATTTGCTAAAAACTTTATTACTAAAAAGAACACTACTATTATAAACCAGAAATTTAGACATTATTCAAAATTCGCATTTTCCTGCATTTTTATGGCGCTCATAAATTCTAGTTAGACGTTTAGTGGCCAATAAAGTACAAACAGATCAACGGGTAAAAATTTTTTTGCGTATTTTCTCTGAAGCATCGAGCCTTTGACAAGGTATTTATCAAATTAGTATTGTTTTACTTGTACCTGCTTTTTTTTCTTCGCCTGAACATTGCAAAAAAAGACTATTTCTACATGGTATTTTTTTCCAAGTATCTTCTGAAATTCTACGTATCGAGATAAAAACTAGAGGCTCTAAAGACCCTGTGCCGTACACCTAGGTCTATGTACATCTTCAATAATGGGCATTCTCCAACATTGTAAAATCTCTTTTTTGTTGATCTTGTATTGGTGATCATTTTTTTTCTGCTAGGTTTCTCTCTATCTTCTATAGTGTTTACCCAAAACAAAACAAAAACAGGTACAAATCGTCATCGAAGAGCAATAACTGACTATTTCATCGATGATGACCTATATGCAAATTTTGTCTTGCTGTTCTTTTTTTAGCTTTTTCTTAATAATATATAAAATAGTAGGACAGGCAACAACACAAAAATTTGATAAAACATCATTTAGGGACAAGAACTATAAGGAGTCAACCGACGTTTTCTGCATTTTTTATGATTTGTAGATCTTGTCTGGTTGATCAATTATTCCATTTAAAGTTCATATTTATCTATTATTATATAATAGTTTTCAAGATAAAATTCAAATACACCAAAAAATGGTAAAAATCTATTTTAGTTTTCAAAATAGACAAAAACGAAAACAAAATTAGAAAAATTCGTCATTTAAGGGATAAAACTCCTTTTGCAGTCGACTGACTAGTAGGAAGATATCAACAGTCTGAACAATTCTGTCCTTGTCAAATTTTCTATATAGTTAACGTTTCAAGATAATAAACAAAACTTAGTTCAAATGCGCTAAAACGGGACAGGATCAGTATTCAGAATTTGTTTTAACTCTTTAAATGTTACTATGCTACTCCAAAATGATAGTTCAAAAACCTAGTGATTCGTTATATCTTTGCGTATTTCTGTTTAATTAAACAATTCCAATGAGCAATGTAGAGCTGTTAGTTATGGTTAAAGATCTAGAACCTTGTTGACCTTTGGACGTATCTTTATAGACGGTTACTGTCTAATTGACTTATACCACAACATTTCATTTTATTCATGAGTACAATAATTGTTTTTAAAAATCTGAATTTGTAAACACTACCTTCTGAGTAATGTTATCTGACAATTATAGCAATTACTGTTTTAATCTTCAGTCTTCTTAATATTGATACAGGATACAACTTTGACACAGCGGGAACTGATAAATACGTATGGTCGCAGTCCTTTCGTTGTTGTTCTTATGGAACACTGGCACGATATTCAGTGGTTTTAAACCAAACAATACAGCTAAAACTAAGTGAACATTATTGGCTTGCAAATATAAGAAGACCAACTTTTCACTTTTACTCAGGTAAGTAAATATGCTAATATAAGTTCCATGTTTGTTGATAATGAAAGTGTTATGCATTTTGGTGCTTGAATGTCATATTAGCTCTTCTAGCACAAAAAGGCTTTGTTATCTCTTTTCGTCTGTCCGGTGGTGTCTGTAAACTTGAGGTTTTCATCTTCTTCTCTGAAACAATTTACCAAGCTTAAGCAAACTCGACATGCATGTTGAATAGAGGGACTTCTGTACATGTTACTCACATATTTCTAATCGGATAAAAACAACTGAAGGCCGACGGTGATTCATAGTTTACTGTTGTTTACATAGACGTCCTTAGGTCTCTGATGGATAGTCGTCTTAACATTGCCACATTTTAATTTCAGTACAGTTGCAAATAGTTCACATTACAACTAAACATTTTTTTCCATAATATATATTATGAGAAGAAAAACATGGCCACCTGAAGTAATTTTTGATTTTTATTAGGCTTTTTTTAAACAGCTATTATACCTGACACAAAAGATGCATGTACAGATAACTGATGAAAATAATGCCACTTAAAGCGATAGGAGAAGGGGTAATAAGGCCCATATTTGGTCCAAGATTTAGTTGCCAAACATTGTCTAATTGGCATTTATTTCGCGCCACTTGTTTTTAAACTACCAAGCATCATGTTCACCAAAAATTATTTTTTTTACATAAAATCTATTTTATTTTGAAAACATCCCTCCCTCTCTTCTTTTATCATGTATAAGGTGGCTTATCAGGCAGTTCACACTTACGAAGTAAAAGGCATTTTAAGTTGTGTAGTAGAACATTTTAAAAGGATGCAAATAAAGCATAAAACAATTTAGTCAGAATACCTAATTACACTAACTTTAGTCATACAGGTCCTAACTTTTCTACGTATTTATACATTCCTGCCTTTCAAATGTTTGGATTTGAGCCTTCCTGATGATGGTAAATCCAGTAAAATACTTCGAACGCACGAAATTGATAAAGTGTTATTTTTTTTCTAAAACTTAATTACTGTTCCTACCAAACCATTATATTGAAATTACGTATGAGTGGTACATATGTGCAAATTGGTTTATGTTCTGTCAAAAAAAAAATAAACAGAATAATTATTTATGCAATGCAAAAATGAATCGTTATTCAGCTAATTACCGAAAATCTCATTCTTATATTTCCTCTTTTTATACAAGGGACTTTTTGTCGTAAATGCCTTTTAGATCACTATATATAGAGTGCCAAGAGAGGCAGATGTATTGACAGAACCACGATAATGCGGCTAGAGTAATGTCGATGTTCAAGTCATGGATGCTTCTATTCTAATGGCAATCTATTGTGATACGATATTGCAAAAATAAGTTACTCTCATTTTTATTTCATGAGAGATAAATGGAGAATGTGTCTATGGGCCACAGATGCCCCCGCTTGTAAATATGCATGAGTCAACTTCCACATACAGATGCATGATTCACGTCGTTAAGATCGCTTTGTGATTATAAGCTTTGTGTATAAGTTTCATATCATTTGGCTGAGGCAAACTAAGTAAGAAAACGGAAACGACAGATTTAGCAATTTTTCCATTTATAAAAGGGCATAACTCAAGAACAGTAAAAGTGACGCTACCCAATTTCGAACTTGATTTGTGTTTTGTGGTAATAAGCATTGGGTATAAGTTTTATAACAATTGGTTGAGGCAAACAAAAGTTAGTGAACGGAAGCGAAAAATTTCGCAATTTTTATGTTTATAAAGGGAATAACTTGTTTCTTTATTATTATGAGGCTGACTTCATACAGGAACTTCTTAGGAAGAAAGATAAGAAGTTAGCAATATCCTTTAACTCTACGTTCCGCTATAAAGATGATGTTCTCTCACTAAATAATACAAAATTTGGTGACTATGTTGAACGAATTTATCCCATCGAACTATAGATAAAGGATACTACAGATACAGTTAAGTCTGCCTCATATCTTGACTTACATCTAGAAATTGACAATGAGGGTCGGTTGAAAACAAAACTTTACGACAAAAGAGATGATTTCAGCTTCCAAATTGTGAACTTTCCATTTCTATGTAGCAACATTCTAGTAGCGCCTGCAAACGGAGTATATATCTCCCAATTGATACGATATTCCTGGGCTTGTGTTTCCTATCATGATTTCCTTGATAGAGGATTGCTGCTCACAAGGAAGCTATTTTAAAACCAAGAGTTCCAGGTGGGGAAGTTGAAATCATCCCTTCATAAATTTTACGGACGCCATCACGAGTTGGTTGACCGTTATGGAATAACCGTTTCACAGATGATATCGGATATGTTCCTTATGTCGTAACTACAATACCCTCCCTTTTCACGAATGTGACTTACCGAATAAGACTATTTACCGGATTTGTAATAACATAAGCAACACGACGGGTGCCACATGTGGAGCAGGATCTGCTTACCCTTCCGGAGCACCTGAGATCACCCCCAGTTTTTGGTGGGGTTCGTGTTGCTTAGTCTTTGGTTTTCTATGTTGTGTCATCTATCATATTATTTGTCTGTTTGTCTTTTTAATTTTAGCCATGGCGTTGTCAGATTGTTTTCGATCTATGAGTTTGACTGTCCCTCTAGTATCTTTCGTCCCTCTTTCATGAACGGTAAAAGTGACGCCACCCAATTTCGAACTTGATCTGTATTTTGTGGTTATAAGCATTTTGTATAAGTTTCATAACATTTGGTTGAGGCAAACTAAAGTTAGAAAACGGAAACAAACAAATCAGCAATTTGTATGTTTGTAAAGGAGCATAACTCATGAACGGTAAAAGTGACGCCACCCAATTTCGAACTTGATCTGTGTTTTATGATAATAAGCAGTGTGTATAAGTTTTATAACAATTGGTTGAGGCAAACTAAAGTTAGGGAACGGAAGCGTAATTTTTATGTTTATAAAGGGCATAACTCATGAACGGTAAAAGTGACGCCACCCAATTTTGAACTTGATCTGTATTTTGTGGTAATAAGCATTTTGTATAAGTTTTATAACATTTGGTTGAGGCAAACTAAAGTTAGAGAACGAAAATTAATTTTGGGGATGTTCGGGACAGACGGACGGACGGGCAAGGGTAACACTTAATGCCCCCTCCGCTACGGCTGGGGCATAAAAAACAAGACATTTGGTACTAATCATTTTGCTACATCAGGTTAGTAATAGAAGAGAGTGATAGAAATAGCCGAAGCCAGGCAACAAAAAATGACAACTATGTTGACGACAGACAGCAAAATATTATAAATATTTTGACGACACCAATGAAAGCTGCATTTTTTATCTGATATGAAACCATTTTTATTCAAGGATGAAATTTATTTTACTTTTTTCCTTTTTAAAGACCCTGAACCAGAACCGAAATATTGTGGTTCTGCAAAGATCAGTAGTAATGGTAGACTGATGAAATCTGTTGAAAAATGCGACAAACGTTTACCAGCACTTTGCTTAGATCGACAGGAATATGTTATTAATCCTGATAAAGGTACAGTTATTATTAAATATTATATTCTGGAAAATCTGCAATGAACCAGCAGACCAACAATAAACGACATTTAATATCTGTCTCTGAAAACTAAGAACAAACGTTTACAGCTGTATATACTTTAAATGGAAATTAGCTACGAAATATAAAAAAAAATTAAAATAAGATTTTTTTTTGTTCGATCATTAATAAAAGTGAAATAGTGAAATAATAATTCGCTTTTAGCAGCCAATTTTGGTTCAATTTTGTCAAAATAAGCTAAGAAACATCGCTGATGAATTATTCACTTGCAAGTGAATTATTCTACCTCATTGAATCCGTATTCATGTGACTTTCAATTTAACCCCTTAGCTGGACATGGGTTACGCATGTATTCATCTATTAAAAGGAAAAGAATGAACTTGAAACAAGGACGAATCATTTGGTTGACTGATTCGATCCACAAAAAAATCATTCTTATACAGGTAAAAATGATGACAAACATACTTTAACCTACAATATGAAATCAAACTGACTAAGAAAAATCCTATCACTGGTCACTATCTGTTTATATTTATATTAATGTTTATATCGTGTTATATGACTATCGGCAGTCTTCGGAGGTCATCTCGATGGTTAATTAGATGGCGTCTAGACAAAAAATACACACGAAATGTTGATACATATTATCGAGTCCATGCATTGTTATTTGTTTATTTTAGAAGTTTTTGTAATTTGGATATACGTTTTAGTAAGTTATAAATCAAATATGAGAATTTGAATCAAATCCGTGAACAAGAATTTGACAGCTAATGCCTCTTTAATGATGTATGATAACGATAGGGTACAAATTACAATGAAAAATAGTGGTTTTGTCAGTGTACAATACAGACACCTGCTTTAGTAACTTTAAGTGATGGTATGCTAAGTAATTTTATTACATCTTTTATGAGATACATGTACCTGATAAACATAAACACAAAGAGCTTATAGTATTGTTATTGGGGGCTCTTTACAAGTTATGATTAACATAATACAAATGTTTTACTTTTTCCTGTTTCTATTTATAGTACCCCTTTTTCTATTCTTTTTTTTTTCACAAAGTAAATTACAAGAATCAGTCGGTCAATTCGTTTATAGTCTGCCATCATTGTAAATCTTAAGAAAACCCCTTTTCAAAACTACAGGCTCCTGACTTGGGACAGGCACATAAAGAATGTGGCGGGGTTAAACATGTTTGTGAGCGCTCAACTCTCTCTCTAACATGGGGCAGTGGTGTTACAGCACAGCATAAGAACAAACTATAAAAATCAGTTGAAAAAGGCTTAACTCATCAGATCGATGATCAAAGAGGAAAAACATCAAACATAAACACAGACCGGAAGTGGAAGGGTATTTATCCATCCCTCATCCCTAACATCAAAAAGGACACTAAGTACAGATCTGAGAGTACTTGCAGTTATTGACAGCTAAGTCAAAGCCAATAGCAACTAATAAAAAAATGTCCAGCATGTTCCAACCCTTGATTCTTATTCTAAATTTTGCAATTTTAAGCTTTTACGGTATTTTCAACCTACAGTATTGAATCATATACATTGTATCAGCTACATAAAGATCTTGCTATGAAAAGAATTATCTTTTTGAAGTATTTTTTAAATCATACATTTAATTGCATAGTAGAGAGGTATTATCGTTTACAGAGGACAAACGATTTTGCAATATGAACTCCAGCTAGAAATGTCGGTCATATTCGTTATGATAGAATGCTGGATTTTTCATTTGTTGATACGAGGCATACATTCTTTTCTAAATACAGTGGCTCAGTGTGTAATATTTTTTTATTCATGTTACTCTCTCGAATTAACAAATACAAAAATTGACAAAAACAAAAATCAACAATTTAAAAGACCATGTTAACAGATAATTCAACACGATGAATCAAATAACACATAGTTAATAGTGCGAAAAAACAGTTTAATGTCGCTCGTAATAATATAAACGTGGTTAAGCTCGGTTTTGTCCGGTTTGAGAATATGTTTCTAGTGGTACCAACCATTTCAGCTATATGTAATTGTATATTATTATACTTTATGTCAAGATGCCAGATTTTGATTGGTTAATACGAGGGTGATAATGTACTCTATTCCATGGGAAATACTCTACTACTGTTCAAGGAGACGCTTGGTAACTTGTGCGCTCTATTAAATACGAATAGTTGTTATGTACAAGACATCATACTTTATTACTTTAAATAAAATTTATTAGACAGACATAATAGAACATTCAATATAATGAATTAAATAACACATATCGGAAAGGGTGATAGAGCAGATTTTTACCCCTCGAAAAGACATTTTCAACGTTTGCTTTGCCTCGGTTGACAATGTTTTCTCGGGGTAACAATCTTCTTTATCACCCTCTCAGCTATTTGTTATTCATATACTGTACACCCTTCCCGGCAATTCATAAAATTACGTACATTTGCAACTTATTCAAAACAAATGATCAATATTTTATATGTTAACTAGGGATTTATATTTAATGTTAACTAGGGATTTATATTTAATGTTAACTAGGGATTTATATCTAATGTTAACTAGGGATTTATATTTAATGTTAACTAGGGATTTATATCTAATGTTAACTAGGGATTTATATTTAATGTTAACTAGGGATTTATATCTAATCAGCTAATGTTAACTAGGGATTTATATTTAATGTTAACTAGGGATTTATATCTAATGTTAACTAGGGATTTATATCTAATGTTAACTAGGGATTTATATTTAATGTTAACTAGGGATTTATATCTAATGTTAACTAGGGATTTACATTTACAGATAATACTGGTTTGAATGTTATTGTTACAGTAGTAGTGTTGTTAGTAGGTTCTGTCGTGCTAGCTGTGTTCATAGTTGTAATTGTTTGGCGTGTGAGGCAAGTATACATAAGTTACAGTCGATTTTGGCTTATAAACAGATGTTTCGCTTTTAATGTACAATATAATTTACATAATAAAAGAATCTGTAGTGATCATGATCGTATACCCCTTGCCACACATACACATGACATAGAAGTCCACCACTAGAAAAATTGCTCTTTGTTTAAAATGTTTATGATTATCGAAAAGTTGACCTCAAGAAATAATGGTCCCTCGTTTCAGATTTTTTGGGATTATTGAATTAATTCGAGATATTTATGGAGTAAAAAAATTCAGACGTAATTTGAAAATAAACCGATAAAAATTATCCCGTTGTCAATAATTTATGTTTTTGATAGTAGGTGCCTCTCTAGAAAAAAATGGTACACTTTTAAGGTTTTTTCCGACTAATTATCTCATCCGGTGATTTAAAATGTGGAAATCTTCAATTATGAAAAAATTCTGGTGAGGGAACGACCATTTGATATTCGGGTGGGGTGAAAATTTTCTTAGGATTCACTATTTGTTTTCATTTGTTTGTACACAGGCTTGTTTTTATCCGCGGCTACATTTTGTGTTGCAGACTATTTATTTTAATCCTGTCTTGGACAAAGTCATTAATTTCCACCTCTAACCAGGTCAGGATATTCGTTTTTAGAATCCCCCCCCCCCCCCCCCCCCCGAAAATTAAATGGTTGTCCCCTAAGAAATGAAGGCGCTATCCCGAAAATTTACGAAAAATGAAAACATTTATTAAGAATAATTTCTCTTGTTGAATTCATTATTTTTTTCCCTTGAGATGTCAGTAGCTATGATATAACTTTTTTCGTTCATTTCCTTTTATAATAGATTGAAAAAGAAACAGTTCAGTCTAGACCAACCTCAAAATACTTCTGAAGATGGCCACGAGTATACTGAAATCAATGAAACTGCCGAATGTTCGAATCAACCATCCGAAAGAGTTAATGGACAGTTTACTTATGATCACCTCAGTCATTCCCAAAAGGTGACCAGTAATCCATCCGGAAATATGTATGACACCACAACTGATGTACCTGCGAGATATTACGACCAGTCAACAGTAAAATCTAGTTATGATAAAATCAATATCTTCAAAAACGTGCATGGAAGCTTCCAAAATCAACCTCCGAATGAATATGACTCTGTGCGACTTATTGAAAAGTGTGACGAAGATAACTATCACCATCTAGATAGAAATAAAGGGAATGTAACCACAAACGATGCTAATGATTACATTGAGACCAGTTTTTTTAACTGATCATAATCATATATCATCAATTAAAATATTGTTAGCTTACTTGTTACATAAATGTTATCCAAATGAGACATTAACATATATTTTTATTTCTCTACACACCAAATTATATTGGCATAGAGCCACACGCAATATACCGTATATTTCATAATGCATATGTAAAAACATACAAACGAATACAAAAGTAAGACAGAGTTAATTACAGAAATTACAGTATATGTTATCTCTAAAGTGGTCAAGTACATGGTTTATCCAGGAGAGCCCACATGAATGTTAATTAACCTTATAAATTTACATAAGTTGTTTAGATCATAAAGATTTTTACTGTTTATCAGTTCATTAAAAAAGTAAGGCAACGAAGGCCTTAATTTGGCGTAAAAATTGAAATTTGTTATATCATATGCAACATGTGCAAAAACCTATAGTGGTGATCTTAAAACATATGCAAATTTAGATATACAAGAACAGGAATAAAAGCCCTGTTCATTGATAATTTTCCATGTTTTCTATGTATTGTGTGCGATTTTGTCCCATGTACATTTTCCAAACTTTACGACAAAAGAGATGATTTCAGCTTCCCAATTGTGAACTTTAAATTTCTCTGTAGCAACATTCCAGCAGCGCATGCATACGGAGTATATATCTCCCAATTGATACGATATTCCCGGGCTTGTGTTTCCTATCATGATTTCCTTGATAGAGGATTGCTGCTCACAAGGAAGCTATTAAACCAAGAGTTCCAAATGGTGAAGTTGAAGTCATCCCTTTGTAAATTTTACGGACGCCATCACCAGTTGGTTGACCGTTATGGAATAACCGTTTCACAAATGATATCGGATATGTTCCTTATGTCGTAACTACAATACCCTCCCTTTTCACGAATGAGACTTACCGAATTAGACTATTTACCGGATTTGTAATAACATAAGTAACACGACGGGTGCCACATGTGGAGCAGGATCTGCTTACCCTTCCGGAGCACCTGAGATCACCCCCAGTTTTTGGTGGGGTTCTTGTTGCTTAGTCTTTGGTTTTCTATGTTGTGTCGTCTGTACTATTATTTGTCTGTTTGTCTTTTTATTTTTGGCCATGGCGTTGTCAGTTTGTTTTCGATCTATGAGTTTGACTGTCCCTCTGGTATCTTTCGTCCCTCTTTTGTCCCATGTACATTTACTCCATATCCTTTCATTTTCTATAGACCCTTCTTTTGTCTGCTGTTCATTTTAACCATTTTCGCAACTTCAAAAGTAAGATATTTTAGCCAGATTGACCGTTTTTGTGTATTTGGAAGGTATATTTCTTTCTGAAAAACGTTGGCCACACCAATTGACTAATTAACTAGTATAATTGATTTGAATTTCACTGAACTGAAGGGCCAATTTTATGTATCACTTATCCCACACAAATGACAAACGACAATCATCAAGTAGGGACTTTGCATTTTTTAACCAAGTTATATCATTTCTATATTTATACAATGAACACGTATCTACAGTTGCAAGAAGTTTTTCTTGTTTTCCAGTTATGATTTTGTCGAGTAATTAATTATACGAAGATTAATATCTAATTCCAAAAGATATCCGATGTCAATATAAAAAGAAGGAGAAGTGATATGATTGCCAATGAGACAACTATCCACCAAAGTTCAAATGAAGTGGATGTAAGCAATTATAGGCAGCCTTCAACAATGAGAAAAACCTATACTGTATAGTCGGCTATAAAAGGTCCTGACATGATAAAATATGAAACAATTCAATTGAGAAAATTAACGGCCTAATTTATAACAAAACAGTTTACGAAAAACAAATATGACTGACATGAACCAACGACAACCACTGAACTACAGGCTCTTGACTTGGGACAGGCACATAAAGAATGTGGCGGGGTTAAACATGTTTGTGAGGGCTCAACCCTCCCCATAACCTGGGACAGTGGTGTAACAGCACAACATAAGAACAAACTATAAAAATCTGTTGAAAAAGGCTTAACTCATCAGATCGATACAAAGCATAAAAATTATAAAACAAAAACACATACCGGACATGGCAGGGTATTTATTCCTATGCAATAATATTGGTAAGTTAATGTTAAACATAAAGGCCAATGACAGCTTCAAATTAGAAATGCCTATCATATACGTATAACATAATTATATATTTAACTGCCTTTAGTATTTAAGACCGCATTTACACGTAATTGTTAACATAGGAAATTTTGCTTGACTTTTTGTTCATTTTTATATAATACATGGCCGACGAGAATTCGTACCGTGTATCCGACTGTTGTAATGAATATTCAGTACTACAATTATAACTTAACATTTAAAGGAAACTGAAATAGATTTAAAAAAGCGTTTACTTCCGATTGTTCACTAAAAATATATATAGGTGACAACACTCTTTATTTTATACTTGTTGATATGGACTATGTAATAACATGGCATGGCTTAACATTGTACGTCGTTATTATTATCCTTATTTTGATTGATAGTTTTAGGGGTAAGTTATATTTCTAATTTCTATGTGGAAGTTGTTAACATTTTAAGAGTGTTATTCACTACATTAGGTATTAAGCCAGTTTCATGTCGATGTTTTGACAGGCCCCTTTTGTAAATACTAGAACATGTTAAGATTACGATAAAATAAAAGCATATTTAAATTTTGAAATATATTTTATTTCTTTTTGTGTGCACGTTTTGAATTCTGAATGATCATCGATCTTACATTTCAAAATAACACATGATCTTAATCGTTCATATGAGACTAACATTAATACTCTAAAGCAGAAAATAATGTTTCAAAATGCTTCATTGAATTTATATAAAGATGTCTTTATCATACAGAACCTGTTACTTCTGACAAAATCCAAAAGTGCTTATCAATTTCCAAATAAAGTTTGCCTACGAAGTTGTTCAATACATGTATTTAATAGTAGAACAAAATGATTTAATGAAGTCTTTTGACAATCAAAGAAGCTATGTCTCACTTAATTTGAGCCATTTTTTAAAATGCTTGAACTTTCCCAAAATCGTTTCGTTATGACTACATGTAGCTGAATATTTTGAATAGTAAAAAAAAAAACAGAGTATATTGGTGTATGCACTTGTTCAAATATAAAATAATTCAGCGCACAAAATAAAGACAGACACTACACAAATTGCGGCAATGTATTTAAGACCGAGTAAATAAACCTGAATCTTGCAGCAAAGATAAGAGAAAAGCTATGTCTGGACTAGAGAAGGTTTTATATTTTACGTAATCATGTTAGTATTCACCATATAAACGTATAATGATAATGAATGAACTCGATAGTAATCAACAATAAAAATGTTAAAATAAAACAGACGAGAAGTATTCTTGAGAAAACTGTAATTCCTAGATACTGACACAGGTATTTGACCAAAATCGGGCCACAAATAACAAACATTAACTAAAGCCAAATGTGGTATAATGAAATTTTCAAGCTGTAAAACCCTTGAAATTAGTAATATTATGTATTTTTGGTTATCCTATATATAAATTCTATATAATTTGTATCACTTAATATATATATGCAATTTAAAGAAACACGTGAGATTTAATATATATTTTTATCACTTGTAACTCATATGTACGTTCAAGGACTTCCTGATTCAAGTACAAAATTAATTTTGAATGTGAATGTAACAGTACAAAAAAGTCGTTCCTGCACATAGAACAGAAATAGGATTGATAGATATTTTACCTTGTTTAGCTTTAAAATTGAGAATGGAAATGGGGAATATGTCAACGAGACAACAACCCGACCAAAGAGCAGACAACAGCCGAAGGCCATTAGTGGGTCTTCAATGCAGCGAGAAAATCCCGCACCCGGAGGTGGTCCTCAGCTGGCCCCTAAATAAAATTGTGTGCTAGTTCAGTGAAAATGGACGTCACACTAAACTCCAAAACATATAAATGAACTAAAATTAAAAACAACATACAAGACTTACAAAGGCCAGAGGCTCCTGACTTGGGACAGGAGCAAAAATGTGTCTTCATTTTCATATGTAAGTGTTTAATTTCAGAAGTTTAATCTTAAATAAAATGTCTTGACAGAAAAAGTAATCAGGCTCATAACAGTATTTGTCAGATATCTCTGCTAGATATAATACTCAATCGTTTATTGATATAACCCCACAGCTGTGTTCTTCAATATATACACATATTTAGTGTGAGTGATCGACATTACAAACAATTCCACTCAACGTGATGTCAGGGAACGACTTGAACTTGGAAATGAGTTGAGCGCTTTGCTCAATGTTGAAGGCATCACTGTGGCTTTTAGATAAAGAATAGAAATACAAGCAATGTTCCTTTTCTTTTTTGTATCACGAATTATTGATACACTATGTCAATTCCTTTCGTCCAATTTATTTATGCCCGATTATATTAATTGCTATTAAATTGCTTTGAAATGTACAGACTGATCTAAAGACATGAACTGTGCTTAATGATTTTAAAATTCAAAAAAAAGTCTCGCACAAAACTTTAAAACAGCCATTAAAAATAGGTCAAAAGTACAGTAGTGGCTTCGATATAAGATCACCTTAATGCATTAAATAACATAACAAAAAAAGATAAGATACAAGACAAGCATTGGCCGAGCTCATGACTAGGGATAGACATATGAATATGTGGAGAGATAAAACTAGTTTTTGAGATATAAACCCTCCCGCTTTTAAATCTCGATTAGTGGACTTAAAACGTGCATAAAGGAACATATAATAAAAATGATTATTCTCAGATAAAGCTAACTCATAACTAACGTTACGATAAATAACAAAAAACACAAACACGAACAATAAAGAATTAAGTTGAAATAACAAAACATTTCGTCCCATATTTTAATATCGGTTGCTGTGATTCATAGAATGTTTCAAACAGCAACGTCACAACCAGCATAGGAATACACGAACTTGTGGTATGTTCTGAAATAGGTTTTTGTTTTTAAGAATCCAAACAAAAGCAGTAGGTACATAACTAAAGTACAAATCTAAACAATAATTTTTCAGTATGCCCTGTTAAATTTGTTTGCATGAAAAAAGGAGATGTCGGGTATAAGTCAATGAGACACCAACCCAAACAACCCAAATAACCAAGTACAACTAGAGGCCAACAAACATCTTCAGCAATAATTTGAGACGTTCCGAGTCGATAAGTTGTGAATGAATTAAACAGAATTGGGAAAAAGAGCCACCATCTGCACCATTTTTTTAATGACTAATAACATTAAAATATGACATTCCTGGCTTGGTACATGACAATATTTTGCGGGTTATCTCTTGTTTCTTGAGATCTCCCCTTTAAATCCCGATGGACTGCAATAAAAGTAAAACAGGAAAGACACTTAACTCTGATACAACGATATGTTAAATATCAAAAACAAAAAATTGCAAAAACTAAATAGATAGGATAAACAACTATACAAAAACTTACCAAGCTCACGCAATTACTTTATCTAATGACTGTAATAATGGTTGCTGTAATTCATACAGTAGTATTAAAAGCATGCAAGATCTTGTGCAGTGTCAAAAACAATCTGAACTAAATCCAAATGCAGAAAAATAACAGAAACATTCGAAAATTGATGTGTATTTCCAAATACACAAGACGCAATGAATGAACTACAGTATACAAATGACCATTACTTATTAGGCAAATAGAACGACCTGAAAGACAGTATAGGTACTGGCGAGCGTGTTACGTAATATTACCGGAAGAAGCTGTATCGGTATGCCCATTTTATTTAATACCTATCGATGCAATAATATTTCTACAATACATTTCCATATTTGTGATAAATTTAGTTTCAGACTTAACTGATTTCTACCGAGAAAAAGTTATTTTAGTAATGAACATATTACATTCACCGAAATCCGAGACGACATGGTAAAACGCGTATCGAAATAAAGGTGAAATGTACACTCCATCAGATGGGATATAGGAACATCACAATCAAGGGAAGAAGCATTGGCCATTGAAGATTACCAAAAAAAAAACACAATATTTTGGAAAAAATATATTACATCGACCATGTCTGATTTAGTAAGGACGCTTTAAAGTGGACAAATTTTGTTGTAGAGAATGTGTTTTCTGTAATTATTTTTACATGTTATATAAAAATTATCTATCAAGTGGTGTTTCGTGGAGGTCGGTATGATGTCTTGCTTTAAACACATGTTAAACTGTGATTCGTATCGACAAAGAAATAGATTTGCGATTAACGTTTTACATTTGCGACAGGTTTACAGCTAACTTGGCGGTTTACTTTATCTACTTTATTTTCGGTAAAATAGTGCGGTATTATCATAAAATAAGCAACCATAATTTTTAAGAGAGATTTACTGCCGTTCAAATGAGTACAACATATCAAAAATTTTCAAAGACAGATTTTTTAACACAGCCAGTTCCATAAGAGGTGTTAGAGATCAAGTCAGAAGAACTGAACATGTGTAGTTAAAATTTACTCGATGCAGATATAGAACGAATGTTTTCTTCATTAGAAGTAATAGACATGGACGTACACAGATTTGTAATCTCCGTTAAGAGTATATTTGCCAGTATTCATTTTATTTGAAAGTTAAAATATCGTTTTAGTATACATAACGCTATCTTTATTTCATTCGTAGCTGAAAATGTACAGATTTACAGAACAAAAGCAAAATATACATGGTTCCAAGTTAAGAATGAATGTTCACTAATTAGAAATGAGTCCACAAATATGAGTATTTCAACCCTCGACACTGACCTAATGTGGACAGGTGATAGTGCCAGATATCTGCCATGGGTAGAATACTTAGGTAAGTAGATGTATATACATAGCAATGAACAACTTGTATTCTTAATTACATATTTTGCAAGAACAAAAATGGATACTCTACGTATTGACCGTAGTCACAGATATCAGATTTATTTCCTTACTATTATCAAATGTATCTCAGCTTTTTGTCGAATTTTTAAATTCAAAAAGGGAAAAGATACCAAGGAGGTAATAAAAAAAACACAAAAACGAACATACACATACAACATCATAGACAAGATTGAACATACTGAGCATAACAAAAATCTTGGAAAACTCATCTCAGAATGCAGTTCCTGCTTCATTAATGACGCCTATAGAATTACTAAATAATCCAAAAATCAACAGCATAAACGGTAACCAGGTATATATAACCAAAAAAAAAACAGATTGGCAAACGTCTCTTTTTAAACATATAATACAATGAAACATATATATTTTTTAACGGTATAAACATTATATCTTTTATATTTGTTCAAAGTATTTGCCTTTTCATGGCTTTAATAGAATTGAAATGAAATTACATTCGGTAAAATGGCGTAATCCCACAATGTTTGACCGTTTGAGGTACATGCACATCACATCTCGCCAAGAAGAAATTACAAACGGAATGTATTCAATAGGTATTTACTCTTTTGTAGAAATATTCTTGGCGATGTAACCATCATGTTTGTGCGCTCTACTTTAGACAAATCTGACCGTGTAAAAGGATAATTTAGCCACCAATCTAGATGACAAAGTTGTATTCGGAGAAATCCTATTCATTAACATTTATCTCCACAGCAGAGGTCTTAATGTCATGATTTTTGACTAAATCCCTCATCTTTAATCAGTCAAATCTAAAATCCTCTCCTTTTTTAATATCAGTTTGTTCCAAGTATCATTTACCACGGATACTAGCCTAATTTAGTAAGGTTTTCAATTTACAAATATATCTCTCTACCCGTATATTCGGTCCGATAATTAAATGTGTCCCCGTACTTTGTTTCATAGGCAATTAAATACATTTTCATATACTTCCTAAACAATTTAGTCCCATGAAAAATGTTCCCAGTAATTTCCATAGTTTGTAAAATATGTCTTGTACTTTTATTATCGGAATTGTTCAGATAACTCACTTTCAGGCAAAATTCGGAACATGAACTACTTTGCATAGGAATCAAAGTTTACCTACAGGAAGAAGAAGATTTGGAACACTACTGTTAGAAAACGTTAATTTGACTAGTGACAAAGGTTCATATAATCGACTCAATTTCTTTTTATTTTAAAGTCCTGTATATTATTTCAAATCTCATTGGTTGATTGTTATTTGCTTAACATCTAGAAGCAAATAGTGCATGCATATTCATGAAGAATTTCATTTTTGTTATCAAAAGGCTCCTGAATATAAAGAAGTTGTAAAATTAAGGTAATTTGAAAATCATAATAATCAAGTTTTCTAGTTTAAAAGTATAAAAAATGTTATCAATTTTGTTAATAAAATTAGTCCGGTGTAATTATTGAAAGAAAAATAAATATATTTTTGAGAAAAAAGAGAGATTTTAATCTATACGTATCAAAAATGTATCCATACCTTACAATACTGAAACATCCAATTGCAAACATCTTGTAAATGATTTTCTTTCACACCAAGGAATTTGAAAATGCGGACATGGACATTTTACATAGGAAAGTAAATGTATGAACAATGCACTCGCTAACAGTACATCATACTGTTATGTCTGCTTAGTACCTCGACTTTTGCAGACTTGATAGATAAAGTCATGCAAATTCATCTTATCCGCACGAAAAGTAAGAGTTTAAACGAGATCGGATCAAGGTTGGGACATATTCAGAAATAAAAACAAAACAGGTGACATTACAGCAATTTTAAAAGTGAAAGTGTATATATTATAAGTTTAAATAGAAAAATACTATTTTATCGTACTGTGCTGATTAGAACTTCCTTATTCTGTAAATACCAGATGGGATATTAGATGATAAAAGCTGTTATCTTGGTAAACTATTTCCGCAGGCATGTTGCAATAATATTTTTTTTACATTTCTTATTTGAAGTCATTGCGTTGTTACCTTAAATAAGACTGTCCATAAATAAAGGCAACAGTAGTATACTGGTGTTCAAAAGTCATAAATAGATTGAGAGAAAACAAATCCGGGTTACAAACTAAAACCGAGGGAAACACATCAACTATAAGAGGAAAACAAAGGAACAACAGGAACACTGAATTGCAACAAAAACAAACGCCAACATACATAGAAACGAACTATTTGATAACAACTGCCATATTCCTGACTTGGTACAGGACATTTTAAGAAAAAATGGTGGGTTGTCCATAAACAAGTATCAGTCTCGCAAGGTTAACTTGTCGTTGTAACTGTGCTGTCCTCCTTTTTTTCGTTCATGACACATCAAACGCAACTTTCATAGGAAAAACGCGGGATGACAAACGTTAAGCAGGATCTGCTAACCATTTGGATAAACTGTTTCTCTCTAGTTTTTTGCGGGAGTTGCGTTGATTTTCCTTTTAGTATTTTCCGTTCTGTTGTTTGTCTTTCCATTTTTGCTCATTGAGGCCATGGAATAATCTTTCAATCTTCGACGTATGATTTCGGTTGTCTTCTTGAAAAAAAGAATAAAAGATTAGCTAAAAAGCAAGCAAGTTTTGTTCCTATATAGATTCTATATTGATACCAGTGGATTATCGGATTTATCCAATCGAGATAGTTATATCATCAATTTTAAAGTCTGAACCTTGGCGAGGACTTTAAAATTTATAATTTAACTATCGAAATTGGATAAATCCGATAATTCACGAGTAACTATGTAAGAATCTGTTTCTCTAATGATTAAAAAATACATTTTCATTTTTTGTGAAACCAAAATCCCCTTCGAGTGCCTTCCACATTTCACAAAGTTGTCAATTTCATTAACACCTGTTAGCATATTTTGAGCTGATAAAGGTTATGACCCTTAAATTCATCCAATCATCTTCTGAGATCACAGGCAACCACACGTTGATTAAATTTTTTTATACAATGAGTGCAGAAAGGTATAAATTGTCAAAGAATTAGAGAAATAGTGATATCCATCTTATTGCTGTAGAAAAAATAAATCCAATGAAAAGTCGCATAAGCTGATATCACAATCGTCGGATAGAGAACGGGTTGTAATTACGACAGGTGGCATGGAACATATAGATCTATATTTATCTATAACATGATATGACTTCAATTGTATAACCTTTCATTAAAAACCTTGATTATAAGCAGCAACCCTGTATCAAGGAAATAAGATAAGATAAGAAATACAAACCTTGAATATCTTTTCATTTTGGAGATATCTAATTATATCATATGCAGGCGCTGCTGGAGTATGTGTTCGTTAGAAATTACAATCAATTAATATTTTCAACATCTATCAAACAGTGGAACAATACTGGAAAGTAATATGCTAAATCTTTAAATATGCATCTACATCCTCAATAATTTAGATGTAGCATACCTCTTTATCCGTATAAGTATATAACGGTATAAGTAGTCCAGTTTTGATCATCACAAAGAGCTGAAGTCATAAACATACTAAGGTTATTTTTCTTTTCGCAAGGATGCTTTCGGTTAAAGGACATGACGTTAGTAGACAATAGTACAAATGTGGAAACAGGAAAACAGTTGAAAGAGTGTTTGCTGCATTGCAAACAATACGATTTTATTGGCTTACAGGTAAATATGGCATCAACCTGTAGAAACCGTCAACTTATTGATAGGACAATAATTTTGTTTGTATTCGCACTTACTATTATTTTAACTAAAAATGCATTTTATTATTTTCAATCCTACAAAATATTAAACAACATGTCGCAACAAGTATGATTTTATATGTAAAATTGAGAATGGAAATGGGGAATGTGTCAAAGAGACAACAACCCGACAATAGAGCAGACAACAGCCGAAGGCCACCAATGGGTCTTCAATGCAGCGAGAAACTCCCGCACCCGGAGGCGTCCTTCAGCTGGCCCCTAAACAAATATGTATACTAGTTCAGTGATAATTGACGTCATACTAAACTCCAAATTATACACAAGAAACTAAAATTAAAAAAGATACAAGACTAACAAAAGACAGAGGCTCCTGACTTGGGACAGGCGCAAAAATGCGGCGGGGTTAAACATGTTTTTTGAGATCTAGACTATCTAAAGCGTAAAATAGCAAGCGTTTTACCTATAAAGTATAAAAACAGATATGTTTTGCTCTGTTTATCTGATATATATACAAAGAAATCAAGGTTAAACGTTGAAAGTTTCGACTTTCCAGTAGCTCTCCAACTCCCTCAGGAAAAGAGAACTTATAAATTATTATAATTTTGCAATTCATTATAGGTCGCTTTTGGTCATATAGCTTCCGACCTTTTTAAATTTTTTATTTATCTCGGGCTTACAAATATTCAAGTTGGAACGTTCCTGATAAAAAGTTCTTCGAACGCATGTCATTAATAAAGACTTTAGTGTTATTCACATTTACCAGCACTGGGTTGATACCACAGCTGATATATGTGAGCAGTGCTTCGGAATTGACATGAATTTTTTACATATTTATCTAAAATTCTCCGTTAATAAAATGAGAAAAAACTATGGTATCCTCTGGCAAAGTTGACTTTTAAGTTAATTTTGCTATTCTTTTATGTGTCTCTATTGGTCATAAAAATCCAATGTTTTTTAACGTATTTATTCTTCCTTGGCTTTCAATCTTTTGAGTTTGACCGTTCCTGATGAAAGTTAATCTTGAAAAGTGCTTCGGACGGACGAAATTAATAAAGTGTTATTTTTTTCGTATAGTGAAATACAGAAGGAATTATTTATACAGTATATGTAAATTAACATGCTAGTTAAAATGTGCATTGTTTTAATCATTGGATAGATTCAGATTTACAAAGTATGTGTATAAACAATATCTCTGGCACTGTAGGGCCATTTAAGAGCCTTAAGTTTTATGGTTTAGAATTTAATATTTAATGATCTTTTTGGCAGTGAAATTAAAAAATAAAAAAAGTTGTGACTGAATATTTTCAAATCATCTCTCATTTTGCAAATCGTTCATTATTGATAGCAAGACGATAAACACGGCGTTTTAAAATAAAACTTTGCAATGCATCTTACTTTCGAAGCTGGCATCACACATTGATGCAAATCAACCATCACCATCGCGTTTTATTTTTTTCCCATGCTACCATATCCGACTCTCATTCAGCCCCTAACTGACTGATCTGGCCTATTGTGTCTAACCATGTCTGACCCCTTTTCGGTTTATCTTCCTATATAGTATACCAATATTTTAATATTGTATTTCATTATAGTCTTACAGATGCATTTCATGCAGCATTCCTCAATTTTTTATAGACTATTTCTTGGTAATAACAGGGACGAATTTTGCAGGTACAATTAAAAGATGTCATGCGATACGTGATCGTCACGTATATGTTGTGACCTGAGATCTCCCCAAGTTTTTGGTGGGGTTCGTGTTCGTGTTTTCTATGTTGTGTCATCTGTACTATTATTTGTCTGTTTGTCTTTTTATTTTTGGCCATGGCGTTGTCAGATTGTTTTCGATCTATGAGTTTGACTGTTCCTCTGGTATCTTTTGTCCCTCTTTTGTGATATACATGTTCAAATGCTACCATCACACTATATTAATACATTATCACACTGGTTACATTAAACAAGATTTTCATTTCATGATCTTTGAAAATAGACCAAGACGAGGTGCTTTTTACTATAGTTTGTTTCCTGAGTTTCTTTCTGGTAATGTTAACTGTTGAACACTTTTCATCTTATGATAAAGAGGAAATTTAATACGAAGAAACCATAAAATATCTTTAGTCAAAAAATGTTTTTCGATTATCCGAGAAATAAATTTGTCAGACACAGACCTTTTGATTGTTTGTATTAGTTTCTCCTTTGATGGTCATTGCTTTCTGAGATATATTTGGCTGCTAAATGTAACTTATTATCAAGAATCGTAATTCATATGATATTCTGAATGTTGAGCACGAACATATCTTTAAAAGCTTGACTTATATAATGTATGAGTACTTTCATTCCAGGGTGTATTTTTTTCGGTTAAACAATTATCATTAAGAAATTTACTCCGTTAAAGTGTAAAAGAGACGTTATTGATTTTAACTCAAGTAATATTGTTAATCTTAACTTGTTTCTTCCTTTCAACAATTGACTGGGAAAAATGCATGATAATTTTACGATAATAAGTTATAGGTTGTTAGAACAAACCCTCCCTTCTTTTCAAATGGGAAATCAGTATTGCTTCTTCTATTTTTCAAAATTTATGGCTTTCCATGCAATATATTATGTTATTGTGAGTGACTATTCATTGTGATCAATTATTATAGTGAACTCTTAGCAGCTGCTTCAATGGAGCGTACAATCCCCTTATGCATTTTCCGTAAGAAAGGTGCATAAGAAAACAATATATCATGAGTACTGTTGTTTGTCAAATTATGGCAGTGATAACAAGAGAATAGAAATATAAAAAAAAACATTTAAAATAGACTTTTCAATATTGCAAACGTTATATATTATATAACGTTTGCAATATTAAAGAGTCTATTTTAAATGTTTTTAGGATACAAATATTGGGAAAAAATTAAACAGAAGGAATGGTGTAACTAAACTAATACTTAATCTTTTTATTATACTAAACTTTAAAGTCAATTTTGCGATATTTTTTGAAGAAAAAATGACTGTTGATATGTTGGGACGGTCGTAGTTACGATATTTGTTAATAAAATTTTATCATAATAAAACAATATACCAGACAATTTTCGAAAAGATAATTAATCATTTAATTTTTTGAGAATGAGAAATTTGAGAAATATAAGTATTTAATTTTACCTGAAGCCGACAAAAAAATTATTTTTACATTATCCTTTTTGTTTTCATAAAAACTATCTCATTGCTAACTCATTTCATCTGTTGAAATTACTTCTAAATATGATTTAGATTCCTTTTATTAACCATGTTTAAACTTTAAAATAACACATATTAAGAGAGTATAACAATAATACTGAACTCCAAGGTTAAGGTTTGATTTCAAATGAAAAATGATAAACTGTTAATGTCACTTGAAGGTGTGAATATGTTCTAAATTGGTCAGACAATACTTAATCATGTTTCATGAACATGTCCAAGTATTGTTTTACCTTAATTAGATGATTAAGATTTGCACATTTTAAAATAATTGCAAGAGAATTTGTGCATCCGATAATAATTGATAATTGATGTTTATCTTATCGATCACTGAAATCAAAAACAACATAGAAAAGGAGGAGAATCTTGTTGAGTTCAGATTTTTATGGTACAAAATACTTTATTCCTGAACTAAAATCGTACAAAGTATTGTATCCAATTAAACATCACTAGTGTACTGTATCATACTAAAAAAATACTAAATTGTATTTAATTCTTTTTAAAAAAAATAGTGTTTTTATTTAGCGTAAAAACTGAAATTTTTTGTTAAACTGTAAGTAGATCACAAGTCTATTGATTTTCCTACAAATGTTATAGTATTCATTTTAACTTGATCTGTTTAACTGCATTACCACCTAGAAAAAATATTTACATTTTTTCATAGATTCCCTTCAGGAAACCCCCGAACCATAATGTTTAATTTTTCAAAAGTGTAAATTTAATATATTTCCTTAAAGCGAATGTCTTAGGGTAAACCCCTGAAGGATTATTTACACTAGTATATTTTTCATGTGGAATTCCTAACTTGCAGAATAAATACACTGTTACATTCACATGCAAATGTCTTGTGAATTTACAAATATTTGAATGAAATGCCATGTTTGGTATGCCACGACTTGGAACTGTAAATTATCGTTTGTTTGTATTAATTATAACCCATCTCAACTTTGCACTATTTTGGGGTTTTTCTTTTTCATTAACTTTTATCAACTTAATATATGATATTGGTTGGGAAATGTTAAATATGTGAATTATTAAAATGAACTAATAAGTATAGAAACAGTTTTTAGATAACTTAATTTTAATCAAATATATTGTGAAGAAAGTTTTACTTATTGTTAACCTGTTTGCCTTTTCGTCGTATTTCATTTTGTTTCATGGAGATGTCAGTTTCTTTTTGTAATAAATAATAGTACTTTTTTTTTTAAATGTAATGAAAATGATTACCAAAATGATATCATAACTTCATGTTAATGCGTTCTTTCATGAATGTTTGTCTTGGGCAACCACGATGATCTTGTTTTCTTGCAAAGAATCTTCTCTATTAATCACTCAATATATTTAAATATACGAGAATTCTGCTGAAAATAACGTGATCTTAAAGCAATTATACCAGTAGGGTTTTTTAAATATTTTTTTGAAAATCTTCGTGACAGGTTGTATGTAATCAGAAAGAAAAAAAAATCATAACATTGTTGTCAGAAAGTAATCAACAGGTAATTATAATTGTCTAAGTTTACACAAAAGCATGTAATTGGAGAACAAATCATCCACTTAAGAAATAGTAGAAGCAAGTAGTCGTCGAAAAGACACAAATATCAGTACATCTAGTATCGACTTGAAACAAAAAAAACTGATCAATAGAAACTTAAAACTTTTAACGTTGCAAAGTAATTACTTGACAATTATGTCAAGCATATTTCCTATTCTATCTCTTTGAAAGTCATATATTGTAATTGTCACATTATTTTGGTCTAATGTTTGATCATGAAATACTAGAGACCTTTGTTTCAGCAATCAAAGTGTGTGTGCCTTTTCTATTTGGAGTTAACTGCTGACTATATTGAACATCCATGTAACACTAACCCAGAAAAATGTGATGGAGATCTACATGCTTTCTGTGGAGAAGAAAGTTCTACAAATTCCTATTCAATATATCAAACAGGTATTTTACTTTGGAAAATTATCTTTAAATCGGCGAGTACGCAGAATTGGTCTTCATTACACTATGAAAATTGATGCAAGTTAAAGCAGATTTTAGATTTCGTTTACTCACATAAAGCAAAAAATAATAAATACCTTCATGCTTTTGTCCCTTAATTTTTATTTTATTGAAGTTGTAAATATAATGATTTGTAACACATTCTTTCTCGTTTTTTGTTTATTTTCCATTTGGTCAAACGAATATGAACGGAGGTATGCATACCGTAATAAATATAAAATATTTTTGTTAATGTGCACAGTTTAACATTACTTAATTTCTTGAACGAAGAAACGTTTCCGTTTTCTCACTGTAAGAACGACAAAAGGTCGATTGACAGCTGAGGAGGGTCTGAATTAGTTTTTACATGTGTTTGGCTGATAATAAATAATTTACAATTGTCCTTTCCTCTATCAAATTGGTTTAGTTTAGTAAGAAAACAAAATTTGTCATATTGCACATTTTAGCCAACATTACGAATTGAGGCATTTACTTCCATTTGTGGCCAAAGCAAATAACGTTTTGAGAACTATTTCATATTTGCACATAATGTTTGGAAATGCAAACTGTCAGAATCATGTATGAATTATACATTATTTTTATGCTATGATGTCACAATTACGTCATGATATGCACCTTTTTTTTCATAAAAAAAAATTAAAATGGCTGCAGTTATACAGATTTTCATGCTAATTCCTTTATGGAAACATCGATCCTTGCCAAAAACAGGATAATTTAAGAAACTCTATATAACAGATATTTACATAGTCTCACCAAACATAAAGTTGTTTCTTAGGTGCTCACTTACTTTGCGATTCGAAAATATACTTAAAAGTTGATGTAGGGAATCAGGAAACTTTACAAAGCATACAAATTTCGTCGTGGTTTGTTCCTATGGTAACTCGTTGAATCGGAAACTTGTTTTTATTTTCTGTAGTGTGTGCATGTGTGCATACCATAGCTCAGCTGCACACATGTATGACAAATTAACGACCAATAAAATGGTAAATTTTAATTTTCACTTATATTTGGTGCTTACAACAATCCTTTTACAATGACGACAGAGCGCGTAAAATAAAAAGTTAATATATAAAGTTATGAGAAATTCTTTGTCAGCAAGTTCTTATTCACGACACAAACTGTGTGAACTTTAAGAAAACATTAGAAACATGTAAACTAACTGAGACTAGATCCAGTAAAAAATCTTTATTTCCAAATATGCTTCAACGAAATACTATACTAGTTTTGTTGTTTTTTTTTTGTATTGAAAATAAAGTTCAATATTTTTAGTTTAATCTTCCAATCATTTCGTTGTGCTGTTGAAAATTATCTCACTGTGCCTATTTTTAAAGTTGAAGAAACAATTTAAAATTTTACAATCTCCTGTGGTGACGTGACTCAACGAATCCTGATATTTTAAGTAGTACTGTCCGATGAAATATGGCGTTTGTCAAATATTTACAAAACGTCAAAATTTGAAGGAATGCATGATATAGAATTTCATCCTCTGTTCTGAGCTTGGTAAATCAAATAGAATAAAAAAATCTATATGTAACTCACTCTTTATTTCTTTAAATCTAAAACTAAATAATAAGAAACAATTATAATAATAATTGCCAACACGAACACATTTGATTTGTCAATGATGTCCGGTACTGTGGTATGATGTTTTAGGGGTAAATCTCTTTTCACGAATGTGACCTACCGAATTAGACTATTTACCGGCTTTGTAATAACATAAGCAACACGACGGGTGCCACATGTGGAGCAGGATCTGCTTACCCTTCCGGAGCACCTGAGATCAACCCCAGTTTTTGGTGGGGTTCGTGTGGCTTAGTCTTTAGTTTTCTATGTTGTGTCATCTGTACTATTATTTGTCTGTTTGTCTTTTTATTTTTGGCCATGGCGTTGTCAGTTTGTTTTCGATCTATGAGTTTCACTGCCCCTCTGGTATCTTTCGTCCCTCTTTTACGTCATGATGATAACACTGTTTGTTTTTTTAATGACTTAGGTCACGCTTTAAAATTATATATCATTTTATGTTATTTTCTGAATATTCCAACAAAGCAGCATAATTGTACTGTATCATGTATATTGAAAAACGAATCTTATTAATTCTAAAAAACACTTTTTAGTACTAAATAATTTTGATTTTGATCTTGTAAAAACGTACAATAGGGCAATGGTATGCAAAAAACAAAGCAACGACATGGAAGATACTTGTGTTAAATATTCTTCAATATCGTTTATTTCGTTGGACAGTGAATTTGACTGAACGAGTTGAGGATGGAGATTGCTTAGCTGTTGACAAAAATAATGATTCATTTAACTATATATCACAAAACTGTTCGGCGCCAGCTTATCAAATTTGTTTGAGAGGTAAGCATGAATAGATCATTGGATAATTCGATACAATAGACCTATAAAGAGATAAAAATCTGAAAAAAAAGATGAAGTATGATTACTAATATTGCCTATTAGACAAATGTTCGCTAAAGATTAAGATGACGTAAATGTATATAACTATAGAACACCGTACGAACGATAAGTGAAAAATAACATAACAAGATTTTTTTCGTAATTATTAGAATTACATGTCTAGTGTATGTTGTTATGAGATGTAGAAAAGGCGAATGAGGTGTAATGAAAATAATATTCAAGCTTATATTGATATTGATAAGCTGGAACATATGTTTATCACAGGCTTGAAAAGAGTCAAAACCAAAGTCTTTCTGTTTCTTGATAGTTAATAATTGTCTTACACAATAATTATAGAATAACTAATTGAACTATTCAAATATCGAATTATGTGCAAATGATAAAATGAATTCGTTCAAACATATATAGAACAATAATTCATTATATTGACACTGGGGAATGTAGCAACGCCAAGCTATCTCAATTAGTTTTTAAATAACAATATTTGTTGTTGTGCAAAGTTTAATTCAAAATTTTATTATCAGTTTTTACGCCTTTGAACATCAATAATACAGTCTTTATGTATTAAAGGGCTGTTTTAAAATATGAAAGATTTTGAAGCGATTTATGAGACTAATTGAAATTGCAATCGGAATCTTTATACAGTTAACAACGGTGATAGTTTAATAAATGACCAGCTTTCTTATGTACATCCTGGTGTACTTAGCCTTAGAAAAACACAAGAAGTTATTTTGCAGTAACAAATTCATATTTCTGTATCACCAGGCCAGTAGTCCTGACTTTACATGAAATATTATTGGTATACTCATTTCCTGTAAATTTACTGTTTATAAGATACTAAAAACACTAAGGTTTGCTACCCCTAGCAAAATTTTACCTAAGCCGTAATTAGGGACTTCGTATTTGATTTGGATTTTTTGATTCGAGCGCCACTGATGAGAATTCTGTAGACAAAACGCGCGTTTTGCGTCCCGCATTATAAGCCTGGTGTTTTTGACGAGTTTATGAATACCTATAAGGATATAAAGACAAAAGTTGTGTGGCCATATATTTAAGGTCTTTCCACTACGTTAGGAAATACCTTATTGTTTTTCTAATGTGCTTTTTTTCGTCTAACATTTTTTGACATTGCCTCCCCCGTTTCTATTGAAGTTATCAAGACCAAATATGGACCATCGATAGACCTCATCATGAAGTATTACCCTGTGTAGGATTTCATCATCCCCTTTAGAAATTATCACCCTTTTATTGGTTTTCTTCGACATCGTTGTTTTTGAAGATATCATGACCTTATTTGGACTCATTATTATGTATTACCAGATGAGGCTGCGTAGGATTTCATCATCCCCTTTGAGATTGATATCCCCTAGAAACAATTTCTTTTATTTGCATTTTTCTTAAACATTATTACAGATAGGAATCGATTTGAAAAATGGCAATATGTACAGTAACAGAAGGCAATGTTTATAAACATAAAAAATGATTTTGTAACCAACACTTAAATGAGTTATTTCCCTTGAATTATTATACACAATTTTTGAAAAAAAAAATTATTTTGAGCACCTGAAGTCGTGGCCACATGGGACCTTCACCAATAACCTTTATTCAGGTGACCTTTACTTTATCCAAGGTCAGAGGTCACCGAGTGCAAAAAAATAAATTACGCTGCATTTCAAGCTAACATATTAATCAAGAGTGCACACGCTGAAATGTCTCGCCTTCTTTACTAATCATTGATATTATGTTGATAGTTCTAAATATAAAGCTTTACTACAACTATCACATAAACTAAACATGTTGTACTGTTACACCACTGTCCCAGGTTAGGGGGTATGTTAGGATCCCGCTAACATGTTTAACCCCGCCACATTCTGTATGTTTGTGCCTGTCCCAAGTCAGGAGCCTGTAATTCAGTGGTTGTCGTTTGTTTATGTGTTACATATTTGTTTTTCGTTCATTTTTTGTACATAAATTAGGCCGTTAGTTTTTACGTTTGAATTGTTTTACATTGTCATTTCAGGGCCTTTTTATAGCTGACTGTGCGGTATGGGCTTTTCTCATTGTTGAAGGCCGTACAGTGACTTATAGTTGTTAATTTCTGTGTCATTTGGTCTCTTGTGGAGAGTTGTCTCATTGGCAATCATACCACATCTTCTTTTTTATATGATCCAAGAAAATGAGGTCAATGTCATATAAACCAAACAAGAAATACATGTTCACCTTACAATCATTCAATATACTTAATATAGTTGACCTATTGCTTATAGTTTCTAAGATACAGACTCCACCAAGAAAACTAAACATTGACTAATAAACCATAAAAATGAGGTTGAGGTCAGAAGTTGAACTATGCAAGCAGACATGTACAACTTGCAATCATTCCATACAACAAATATAGTTGACATATTGCTTATAGTAATAGAAAAACAGACCAAAACACAAAAACTCTTTAACACTGAGCTATGAACCATGAAAATGAGGTCAAGGTCAAATAAAACCTGCCAGCTAGACATGTACACTTTACAATCATTCCATACACCAAATATAGTAGACCTATTGCATACAGTATAAGAAAAACAGACCAAAACACAAAAACATAACTTTAACCACTGAACAATGAAAATGAGGTCAAGGTCAGATGACACCTGCCAGTTGGATATGTACACCTTACAGTCCTTCCATACACCAAATATACTAGACCTATTGCTTATAGTATCTGAGATATGGACTTGACCACCAAAACTTAACCTTGTTCACTGGTCCATGAAATGAGGTTGAGGTCAAGTAAAAACTGTCTGACGGGCATGAGGACCTTGCAAGGTACGCACATACCAAATATAGTTATCATATTACTTATAAAAAGAGAGAATTTAACATTCCAAAAAATCGGAACTTTTTTTTCAAGTAGTCACTGAACCATGAAAATGAGGTCAAGGACACAGGACATGTGACTGACGGAAATTTCGTAACATGAGGCATCTATATACAAAGATTGAAGCATCCAGGTCTTCCACCTTCTAAAATATAAAGCTTTTAAAAAGTTAGCTAACGCCGCCGTAGCTGCGCCGCCGCCGCCGCCGTCGCCGGATCACTATCCCTATGTCGAGCTTCCTGCAACAAAAGTCGCAGGTTCGACATAAAACGATAAAGGATTGCTGCATACATACAGTGTATAAATTGTTCCTCTCGAAGAGCTCTACATTTTATTATACATTAGGCTCAACACTGTCCGACCATCTGTGCAAAAGTTACGAGGAGATAATTCTTAAAAGTATAGAATTTTGTGTATATCTTTGAAACGTTAACAGATATCAACTTACTAATAATTGCAGAAATGATGAGTATGTCAAGACCTTCAATTTGAGATCAATGTCAAGGTCATGATGAAATTTTACCTTGACCTTCAAAGTGTACTTTGACCTTGACCTTGTGATATTTGAAAGGTCAAGTGGTCCTGAGTTGAATGGTAGTAGTCTTATGTCTCTACGACTTCCGGTTCTTTAGTTTGGTATTGCATCATATATTTGATGATCTATTGTGACCTTGAAGAACTTTGGAATTGTCCCGGTTTTTTTTTTTTTTTTTTTTTTTGTTTGTTAATGTTGTCCTTCAACTACAGATCATTTTCCATTCAGCAGATTTGAGATATCTGTTGTCGTTTCAGATATAATCCAGTTTTAAATTTTGCGAACGGGGCATGTATTTCTGAAACAACAACAGCTTACTACCTTAAATTTTCAGAAATTGAAGAGTTTACCATGGGTATATGTTTGACTAATTACCAAAACATTCAATGGAAAACCAAAAAAAAAATCAATTTGAAATTTTCATGTTTTACATTGACTTTTTAAGTTTCATAAGTTATATTTATTCTATTGATATAGCATCATTTTTGGCACTTTGCCAAATGTGGTCATTTCATTTGGTATATAAAATTGAACGTCTAAATGAGCTCTATTCAAAAATGAAAATTTTAAACCCCTTTTTCATCCCAGTGGCAGGGTGGGGTCATTTAGTGCAAAACAAATCAAACTTAGGTTAGGTTGTTGCATATCAAATGAAAGTCCATAAAGCGTACATTTCAAATATCAAATTGACGTCCCCCAAAAATGAGTTGGGTGGGTTCATTGAGTGCAAAACTAAATTGTCGTCTAAGTTAAGGTTGTCGTTTATCAAATGAAAGGTCATAATGTGTACATTTCAAATATCAAATTCCTGTCCTCCAAAAATGAGTTGGATGGGGTTATTAAGTCCAAAAACAAACTTTCTAGAAGATGGTGTTGTAGCATCGCAAATGAAATGTCATTAAGTCTACATTACAAATATCATACTCCCGATCTGGATAGGGTCGTCAAGTGCGAAAAGTGAAAATTTTTAGAAGGTATGCTTGTCGCATATCAAATGAAAGGTTGCAAAAAGTGCATTACAAATATCAGACTTTAAAGGGAAACCCCTTTCAATTGTTTTACTAACAATTTGAGATACTAGTTTGTAATTATATTTTAAGTATGGCGATCCCTTTTTGGTTTTCCTTCTAAATAGCATATATAAATATTTTGGACTATTCTTCATGTGTTGAGGGTAAGCTACCATACAGCGTTGGTCATGGTTTCAAAGCTTGTTCCCGAGAACAATGATACCAAATACTATTGTAAAAGGCAATTACTTAAGGCAAAAAAGTCTTTAATTTCATTGTCAACATGAAACTACGAAAAAAAACACCTTTTGTTAAGAGTGATTGTAGACGACAAAAGATCACTTCACTTAGAAAACCGATTCAAATTTCTCCCCGAACATTGTTAATAAAACTAGTCCAATAAAGTATTACAAATTTGTCTCGTCCATTCATGTGGGGTAGGATCTGCTTACCTTTCCTGAGCACCTCAAATTGCCCCCGGTTTTTGGTGGGTATCAGTCTTTAATTTTCCTTGTTGTGTTTTGTGTACTGATGGTCTTTTCGTCGTTTTTCGTTTTTTGCCATGGCATTGTAGGCTTGTTTTCGACTTATGATGTTTCCAGGTCACAAACTTGATGACTTTAACCGCATGAAAATCCTAGTGATTGAACAGAACATTTACTGGAGTGATGCCCAGTGACAGGTTCGGGAAAGCTTTTGGATAGAGGAACTAAATGTACATCATCCAAACGGCATCAATAAAAAATACTAAGTTTTATTTTTCACTCATTTTGCGATATAAATATACACAGTCACGTAAATTTGAGTATCGAGTTTTGTTTTATATTATGATGTTCAGGATTTTGGATTAAATCAATAGGCCAAAACTTACCTGTATTATATTACGGAGCTATTTTTATACATACAATTAGTTGTTAAAATTCTTGACACTAAAATAGGCTATTTGTTAAGCCGAAATATTTGTCAACACGATTTAATAACAACATCTTCGTATAGTACCATCTTATATTAGTATCGTACATACTAGTAGTAAATTTGCTGGTTGGTCCTTTTTATAGACTTCTATATATATGTATAAATTTGATATGTAGGTGTTCCTTGAACAGTGTTGAACATTGCATTATAAAATTGAAAGTTCAAAAACGATTTACAATTTAGTAAATTGTATGCTTTTCCTCCATGTGTTAAAGTTTGTGTTGGGAAGTGGGTATGGTTCTTTGTTTTATTGCACTTCATCATTCTTTAAATTTCTCCATATTTCCAGTAAATTGTTTTGAGAGTATCTGAAAAAAAATCAATTTTCGCTCCTTCAAGGGGTTAATTTTATCCATATGAATTGGTTTTTATTATACATATGGACTACAGATAGCTGCAGAAGATTGGTGCTAATGGTAAAATGTTTTTAAGGAATAATAGATACTAGTATGCTGCAGCAACTTTGCAGTAGTTTGTGCATTATTTCTTTCTTTTGATAAAAAAGGTACGTATAAAACATGTTTATACTCTACAGATAGTGTATATTCAACGAATTTCCTTTCGCAACACAAGTCGACAGAAACATGGATTGGTTCGTTTAGTTTGTGTCCATCATACATGCTAGCACGTTACCGTTTGGTTTTCAATATTATTAAGTCTTTAAAAAGAGGAACATACTGGTTATCTAATACAAGGAGATGGATTCAAGGTACATGTAAGTATTCATTTAAAAGGCTTATAAATGAGGAAATAAAACGGATAATGTGAAACCTAATGTTTGACTATAAATTGTAGGAATTTAAAAATAGCTTTGCTGCTAAACTGTTTGTATAACTTTGCCAAACTAGTTTAAAGTAAACGATACAGTAGAATAGAAAATAAGGTTATTCTCTTACTACATGTTCTAAGACGATTTAAATCTTTCCCGACCGTGAATTGTATTTAAACAAACAACAGTAGTATGAATGATTTTTACTTTTTCTTAGCAAAGATTCACTATTCATTATTACCTGAAATTGTCTTCACGATCAACAAAGCATATTTTTATTACTGTCAAAATGTACACCATGACGTTACAAAGAAAGAATGCATTTTGTTGCAACTCACCGGCTAATACAGTGTCGATAATAAGGTTGTCTGCATATTGATATTGCAAATATAAGCTGCAAGTCCCAATATGAAGCTTTTTGTCACAGCGAAAAAAAGGGGGTTAACATATTTGCTTCAAAAAGCCGTGATGTGCAAGTCTACGAAAAGCTGAGCAGAGTTATACAGACAGTGGGAAAACCGATAATCATCATTATTATAAGAATCATTAAGGAAACATCATAGCGGTACACGACGTAAGACATGACATTGTTTCTCATTCCTGAGTTCAATTCAAAATAGTGAAACATTGGTTTAAATTAGACATTTTAATGTCAGTAGTGGAGGTTTATTATAGTTTGGAAGGTACAATTTTAATCAATTGTATGACTATACTGAAACAATTACATTAGATGATACCATAAATTTTACTGTACTGTCTTTGACCTAATACTCATGGTTCGTTGCTTGCTTTTAAATACTTTTTTTTGTCACGTGAATTTCTGACTTATTATGAGTAATTAATAAGACTACTTATTATGTATTGGATCCTCGAGAGGTCTGCATGTTCGTCAGTCAGGATTGACCTGATATTGACCGTATTCATCGATTAGTGATTTAGATCATCTTTTCGTAGTCAAGTCCGTACCTCAGGTACGTTAAGCAAAATGCCAACTATATTTGTATGGTGTTATTATAAGTGATACATGTCTGTCAGACATGGTCCTTCTGACCATGACCCGCTTTTCGCTGTTTCATGTTTTGGTCAATTTCATAAAGAATAGGTCAACCATATTGGAACATTTAATAATCGTAAGATGTAGTTGTTTGTCTGCAAGGTTTTTTCTGCCCTTATTCTCATTTTGCTTATCTATTGGTCAGTATAAAGTGTTCAAAGTTAAATCCATTTCATATACCATTTTTTCAAATTAATTTGGTATACGGAATGATTGCAAAGTGTACATGTCTGTCTATCATGGCTCATATGGCATTGACCTCATGTTCGTGGTTCATTGATTAGTATTTAAAAATACTCAGTGCTAGGTCTGTTCGCAGACACTTTAAATATTTAACTTTATTTTGTGTATCGAATGATTTTATGGTGTACATGTCTGTCTGGCTGGGTTCACCTGACATTAACCTAGTTGTAATTGTTCATTGATAAACGTTAAATGGTCGTGGCTATGTATGTTTGTCTGATACCAGCTAGAAGCAAAAGGTTCTCATTAACCATTGAAAAAAAGGTTTATGAAACACTTGTAGTTAAATCTTTATCCTTAATTTAAATCCTATATACATAAGGAAATGTGGTATGTGTGCCAATGAGACAACTCTCCATCCAAGACACAAGGCTCACACCTAACAGCCAGCTATAAAGGGCGCCAAATTGACTAGTGTAAAACAATTCAAACATGAAAACTAACGGTATAATCTATATAAACAAGAGGCTCTCAAGAGCCTGAATCGCTCACCTGATATTTTTTGCTTAAATCTTTCATCAATGATTATTTTTGCTTTTCAATATATATTAATGAATGGCTTAAAACTTCCATTGAAATCTGTCATATTTTCTTCAAAATCAAAGAAATTCATTTTACCCCTATGTTTCATTTAAGCCATAGTGGCTATGTTTCTTGACGTACAAGAAAATAAAATACAAAATTTATACTAGATACTCTGAAACTCATTCAGCCCAAGTTTGGCTGAAATTAATTCAGCACATTCAAAGGAGAAGATTTTTTAAAGTAAGCAAACTAAATTAACAAATTGTGAAAAATTTATTTTATAAGGGCAATCACTCCTTAAGGGGACAATTGACAATTTTGGTCATCAAACTTATTTGTAGATCTTACTTTGCTGAACATTTTTGCTGATTTAAGTTTATCTTTATCATTAATAATGTTCAAGATAATAACCAAAATCTGCAAAATTTCCTTAAAATTACCAATTAATTGGCAGCTATCCATCAATGGATAGTTAGATTCATCAGAAAATTTCAGGGCTGAGAGAGCTTTGCCTTATAAACATTTTTACCTCTCATCAGATTAACTCTAAATGCTTTGGTTTTTGAGATATAAGCCAACAACTGCATTTTATCCCTATGTTCTATTTTTAGCCATGACGGCCATGTTATTTGACGAAACAGTAAATAAAACACAAAAGTTTTTCTAGTAACCCTTAGAATCATTCGGCTTAATTTAAAAAAGAAGATGTGGTATTATTGCCAATGAGACAACTCTCCACAAAAGACCAAATGAGACAGAAATTAACAGCTATAGGTCACCGTACGGCCTTCAACAATGAGAAAAGCCCATACCGCACAGTCAGCTATAAAAGGCCCCGAAATGACAATGTAAAACAATTCAAACGAGAAAACTAACGGCCTAATTTATGTACAAAAATGAACGAATAACAAATATGTAACACATAAACAAACGACAACCACTGAATTACAGGCTCCTGACTTGGGACAGGCACATACATACAGAATGTGGCCGGATTAAACATGTTAGCGGGATCCCAACCCTCCCCCTAACCTGGGACAGTGGTGTAACAGTACAATATAAGAACGTTCGAACTATGAAAATCAGTTGAAAGAGGCTTAACTCATCAGATGGATAAAATACAAATACTACAAATACAAGTTAAGTTTGGTTGGAATTGGTTCAGTAGTTTCAGAGAAGAAGATTTTTTAAAGTTAGAAAACATGATAAACAAATTGTGTAAAATTGTCCTTAAAGGGCAATAACTCCTTAAGGGGTCAATTGACAATTTTGATCATATGAACTAATTTGTAGATCTTACCTTGCTGAACATTTTTACTGTTCACAGTTTATCATTATCATTAATAATATTCAAGATAATAACCAAAAACTGCAAAATTTCCTTAAAATTACCAATTTAGTGGCAGCAACCCAACAATGGGTTATCAGATTCAACTGAAAATTACAGGGCTGATAGAACTTTACCTAATGAACACTTAAACCCCCATGTCCGATTTGCTCTAAATGCTTTGGTTTTTGAGATATAAGCCAAAAACTGCATTTTACCCCTATGTTCTATTTTAGCTATGGCGGCCATGTTATGTGACGAAACAGTAAATAAAACACAAAGTTTATTCTACATACACTTAGCATCATTCAGCTGAAGTTTGGTTGGAATTGGTTCAGTAGTTTCAGAGGAGAAGATGTTTGAAATAGTTTACACCAGACTGACGACGACGGACGACGACAGACGACGACGAACGCCAAGTGATGTAGGAAGAATGTCAATAAGACAAGTCAATAAAGCAGACGAGACATTTCAGCTTGTGCAGTATTGCTTTTTTAAGATTATCTCTATAACGGAGGCTATTGATTGTTCCTCTAATTGTGATCAAAATGTTTTGGTAACAAATTATATTAAAATAAAGAGGAAAAAATATGTGGTATTAAACTAGAAAATATTCAATTTACATGACTTTGTGTACTTTGTTTCTAGAGCAAATGAAATTATCGCTCTGCAGAAGAATAGGGAATAACACATGACTAAACTGCAAGGAATTTGAAAAAAAAACAATTGCGGACTCATTATATACTGGCAAGGTTTATATTCTTCATCGATTGTCATGGATACATTGACAAACGAGAGTTATGGTTTAACACATGTTTCAAACCGCCTACATATCACTACAAACTACTCAATTTCTGTAAAGAGCATATTTTGTGCTATACCAGTACGGTGGAGCACAGATTTTACTTGACTAAATCTGAGTAATTCGTGCAAAATGGTAGACATTTTGTTTTAAATCGATACTTCGATAAAGTATTAATCTTATTTTAAATTAAACTTTATATTTAGTTACAGATCCTGAATTCTGTGTTGCTTCTAGATTTAAACAAGATGGGTGTCTTCAACGGTTTCCAATAAGGTGTGATAAACAACTACCTGGTCTGTGTGTTGGACGTCAAGAGATGCACGATCGTGAAAAAAATGGAAATAAAATGACGTCAACAGATGATACTGCACCGATTGATAGTAAATATGTTTTAAGTCAATTACTACAGCATAAACGTGGGTCGTATTAATTAAAGAATTCATGCAGTTGTTGGCAAAACATACAAAAAAAACAAAAAAGTGAAATTGCGGACACCTTGGTGACAATGGATGTCAAGTTCCTCAACACTAATCCTAGAGAGAACGAGGGCCACGATCTCCAAATTCGTCGACTCATATTCGCATCACGTCCATGGTTAAGTTCAGGGGAGTGAATAAAATCAATTTCTAGATCGGAAAACAGTTAAGCTCAAAATGGCTTTCTCAATTCAATTCAGAACCGCTCGCACATGGTAGACATGAGATGGTCTAAACGGAAATGCCTACTGTAACGGAGGAAAGTAAAAACCTAGTATGATCCAATGTAGAATATAGGAAAGGATCGGAACCCCTTAATTTACCAGATACCGCTATGTGAGTGAGCCTATACACACTCATGAAAAAGCCCCCGCCCCTTTACCCCCAGCTAAACATCTTGGAAATCAATATCAAATATTTAAACAACGCGGAAAGAGCAATTTTTTTCAGATCATAGGAATGTTTCTATTTCTCCTTGAATGTTTTTTAAATATATATCGTATCCTGTATCAGACAAGTGGGTTACATCAAATCTATACAAGTTTATTTCTTGAGTGCGTATATTTTAATGACGAACAAAACAGTGTCCACCCTTCATGACCTTCTTGTTTATAGCACAGCTATTCCATATTTTGCAGCATGCCAATCAATTCTCATTACCATTTCACTCCGCACGATGCGAGAGTTCGGTAATATATGTAATAACTGCACTGCAGACGCAGACGATCCAATCAATGGCGTCTACGTTATCAAAATCGTTAGAACCCAGTTAAATGATTATCATGACCGGGTGAGAAAAACAATCAATTGAATGTGAGACTGTGGCATTAAGTTCGCTCAACAACTTACCCTTTTTTCCAAACCAGCGTATGTAGACCCCTCTTCTTCGAAGACCAAGGTTTGGGCCCCGATATCTCAATTTTGTGTTTTTCTGTGGACAGTAAACAACTGATGATCCGAAGAACCAAATAGCCTTTGAACCTTAAACGAGGTAACATGGATTATAATATAAGACAAAAAGAAGTGTATTCGTATTTCAAAGAGTAAACACTTATATACAAATATAGCGTAAATAAGAAACGTAATACCATCGAGCGCATTACTTGATAATTTCTTCATTAACTCAACTTTTTGCCATATCCGTGGATCTTCTTTTCCTAAAAGAATGAGAACGAAAGTGAAACGACACATTACAAAAGCCCAAAGATATTTAAGGAAGGGTACACAATTGATATGTTGTAAAGGGCAAGCCATCAAAATGTGTACATAATTTGTTTGACCCGTTCACGCCTGAGAAGAAAACATGCAAATAAGACTGTCATAGGTGAATTGGGTAAATGTCCGTGCCAGACTGCCTCTAAATGATAAGGGTAACAGAATTATGCTTTTGAATGGTCTTAGAACTGCATATTTTGACATGCCATTCGGTTTGACTATTTCTCTCAAAAAAAGTCACATCTTCATAGTTCAAAGCATGTCTGCATTGATCAATACGCCTGTTTATAGATATCTCGCTTACCCATATCATCGCAAATTACGCAAGAGAAAAAACAGAAGAAAACAAGACAGTGTCATAATGAGAATTGCATATACTGCGTAAACTGTAAATTAAAATGTTTTTCCTACGTGAACCTTCCGTCATTTTGCAAATAATGAAATAGTTTGAGTTATCTGTCGGGTTATGAATCTTATGTGCGTGGGCCAGTCCGGAAACTAGAAGGGACCGTAGACGCGGAAAACTCTTTGTATAACAGTTATGCTATACATTGGACGATTTCGTCGATAGGAACCGAAATAACCATAAACCGTTGGAAACGTTTTTTGAAGGATTCTTCTGCTGTTTTATTATTCTATCCAGAAATAAGAAGCCATCGAGCATTTAAGTAATATGTCTGCTTTTCCTTTTAAACTTTCCAGAGGTGGGTCGGAATAACACAACGGCTTGAATGTGCTAGTGGGGCATATTTTCCGAAACTTCTGAAAATCAAAATGAGAAAGGGATTCAGCCTTGTTAAGGTTATCATGGGGTGATTTTTATCTAATTGGGTTCAAGAATTGATTTTCAAGTTTTAATCCCATTAGATAAGAAAACGGGGGTGCTGAAAAAAGACCAGCTGCCTTACCCAATTTAATCTCTTGAGTGGATACATTCAACAAACCAAGATTGTTGTTGGGCGGTATCTTCAAACTGCTACTACCAGGTTGTGGAATCGCTGGATCCGAGATGAGCTTTAAACTTTGAAGGATGTTTTCCTGTAACTCTACTTATAATTCAAAACGGCTGATCCCTCAAATTGGCAATTGTATTGTATTTAGAATTATAGTGCATACAGTATAAATGAATCATTTACATAAAAAATGCTTTTTAATGTACTTAGTTTGTCTTTTATCTCACACATACAGAACATACAAACACATTTGTGTACTTCAGTCTTTTATGTAAGCTAATCTGTCTTGTAGAATTCCTTCTCATTTCCGTGATTGCTGCAACAAGTTTGACAATACTAGTGACAATTGTAATAGTCATCCTCTGTATAAGGTTTGTTATTTTATACTTCTAAATTTGTTATTTTATAATAAATAATCCATTTATCAAGAAAACTTTTATCTCTAAATACTTTATAGGGGTTTGGCTTTTCACATAGACTGAAACATACTCATACTTCATTTGATGATTATTAGATATTAAAAGGTATAACAGCTGGTGCGTTATGGAAGCAATATAATTGATAAAAAGTTTAATAAAAATGAAACTTGGAGAAAAAAACAGAACCACGAGTGTTTGCATTTGTCAAGTGGAAAACCAGCTAGATATTTTTTTTAAATCCTTCCGTTATTGGACAGGTCAGCTACTGAATTATGTCAAAAGTGACCAAACTACCTTTAAAAAGGCATATATTATCAATGTAACGATCACTGGCATTAGATAGCTATGGAATTCAAATTCAAATTTTAAACACTAAAATCAAAATTGTACATATTTATTTAAAACACTCGATTTGTTTGTTGATTCATATATTCTGTGACTATTTATCATTTGCAATTCAAATGTTTCTTTTATATTTGAAACACAGTTAAAGAGTTATTTATTTCATAATTTTGAATCAGATATAAGCTAATGTCTTGGTGTTTCTTAAATATTTGTCATTAATTTGTAGAATGAAAAGACTACAATCAAATTCTTCCGAAAATCAAATCGTTGTTGATGGAAAAAATGTAGTTTATGCACAAGTTGATCGGTCAATGAATCAAGACAGAACCATCGATGAAGCAAGAGGACATAAAACAGTAGAAGATACCTATGATCATATGGATCGTCGCTGTTTGAATCAGAGGCCGCCCAAAGAGGAAAGCAATTATGATATGATGTCCAATATAGCAACCGTAGAGGAAAATGACTACAGCCATACAAATGAGACTGAGAGAGAAAGGCAGTGCTTTATTGACGCTTCTTCGGAATACAGTCATGTTACTATAGTTGGAAAGTCGGAAACTAGAGATTAAGAAACTGACTGAGAGTTGATATTATATTCATGAATTGACAGGAAATGATATCGATGAGAAACTTAACAAAATAAGATGTCCAAAATTTTATTCACAGTTCAATATACTGTATTTTAAAATTAACAGGAGTCTATGCCATATTTTAAACTGTTCTTCAATCACGTCATTAAGTGGATTTTAAATAATTTATTTCAATATGCTCCATTTTCTGTGATTTAAAGCAAATGATTTTCTTTCCTTATCTGAATGAGTCCAGTGCAAGATATGTTTTATTATACAGAGCTCAATTGTAATGTTTTTTTTAAGTGAATGTCTATGTTTTCATACTTTCTTCTCATTTATTTATTTTACAAACAATAGAAAACGTTTTATTTTATCCAAACCCAGCACGTATCACTAACCTCTAGTATACGTCCTTGAATCGGACAAACATTCTCTATGATATCACAAAAGTTTGTAAAAAAATGAAAGTAACTGTATGTGTAGAAACAAACATAAAACGCATGTCCGCGTTTAATTGGGGCGTTATCTTGCGTAAAAATGTTAGAGCTTTAGCTTCTTGGTTTAATATTGCATTTGGTGTGGATGTTTATTTATTATAACTTTTATAAATAAAATGGCAAAATGTTTGTAGTGAAAAATATATTAAGATCATTGTTTTTCAATATCATTATTCGACGAATAACACATATATGCAATGTAAAAATTCACGTTTCAATTTATATATTCCGAGGCTCTGAAACCAATCATTCATATTGGCAAAAGTAAATATTTGTAAAAAATTTCTGTTATGGTTTATACAATCTCTAAAGTGCTATTTCTTTCATGTATATCGAGTATCAAACATCACCATGTCAAAATCTAAAATCTTAGGATTGGTTTTATGCACTCGAACGTTTTTGTACATTATTTTTCTATCTTTTCAATTATTTTTTTAACTCTCCAACTGTTGCTCCTGAGTGCACCACATCAAATTCATTTCAAAAATACGATTCGTTTTTGGTCTATTATAAGTTTTTGTATAAATTAATGATTTTTTAAAATTATTATTGAAAACGTACTTTTCTAATGACCCATCATTTTTTTATTTGCATCAATATATTTTTTTTTCACTGATCTACAACTGTAAACAAGACATATTATTAACATATATATATTTTTTTAATATTTGTATAATTGCTCATTTCGTGCCACAGCAATTTCAATAAATTGTTTGATCGAAATTGTACGAATTCAAATATTTACATGTTACTAAATAAAACCTCGTCGTTCGATTTTTTTTTTTTTTTTTTTTTTGTGGATATGGATGCAAATAAAGTCCACCATAATTATTTTAAAAAAACCTGTATTGAAACTTCACTGTGACGTTGCGATAATTGCTAACAGTGGTTTTAAAAAGCAATAATTGTGTTGCTATGTGTGGTTATAGGGATTATGTGCCCTGTATTTTTGATACCCATTTGTTTGATTTGTTGCTTTGCACCGTTCTTGTTCAAGTTAAGTCAAATGCCTTGAACAACCAAAGAAGATAAATGTATGGATAGCTATATATAAATCGCATTCGGCGAGATAAAATATCCAAATCATCAAAGGTAAAGCTGTTTAAAGTTGAAGGGTGATCCTTGTTTTGAAATTATACAACAATATGTTTACAGTGAACATTTATCAAAATGTGCATGTCAAATCACCGTAGATACATGTATGTGTCTGTTCCTATACATGTTTATGCATATAATTATGTCATTTTTGAGTTTTTACTCTGTGTGATTTAGAAACAATCATACTGTTTGGATTTAAACAAATACAATTCTTCTTCTTCATAGCAAAGTTTTATTTAACATTTGTTATACATAGTTTAACTTTATGACTTAATATGTGTTAACTTTTATCAATTGTTCATGATGATACGGCTAACTGTATGACTTTATGACTGGAATAATAAAAAAAACTGTATCTATATACTGACCTCATGTTTCAATTCTTCCGATCATCGATGATTAATCGATGAAAGTCAGGTGTATCAGAGTGGCATGAAAGCAGTTCTTGTTCCATTTCTTATTCGGTGATGTATTAATCCAGAAAACGAGGACGAAATTATGACTACGATGAGGGGTTTATTTCCGTGGTTATCTATGACACGGATGCTTCATAACAATCAATCAAAGTATGTCAAACTTTCAAAGAGATGACTTTAAGTTAACAAAACAAAGATAATACTCCTCCTCAGAATTAAGTTTGGTGCAGCAACATTTATTTATATTCAGTAAAAATGATGATGAAGAAAACCTTTTAATGGTTGTGTCTCAAATATTCACTAATGTATAAATGTTCTGCCTAACAAAAAAAAATGTCTGTCTTGAAAACTGTCGGAATACCTAGTCAGACAAACCATGTACGCGGCATGCACAATTTTGACAAAATATGAAAAAGTCCGAAATACTGTCAATTGTGGAAAATTCATTGACAAATAAAACCCCTTAAATTGCCACATCCTAAAACAATTTTTTTGAAAACAAAAAACAATCTGCATAATATAAAAGTTATAATTTAAAATCATAAGATGAGTTAGCCGGACAAAATAATGACAATATATTCACATACTGCTGTTAATTGTAAAAATAAATACCCGAATTCGGTTTATATTGATATTCTAGATATCTCTACAAAACTGTGCATGCTATAGAAGTTTTAACTTTTAAAAAATGTAGGATATGAGTTAGCAGGACACATCCCCATGCATGATTTCACTAAACAACGATAAAGTTCCGGATATTATAATTTCAGAAGTGTTTGTAATAAATACTGTGAGTTGGGAGGCTTGTCGTTTCTCGTTGTTGAAGGTCGTAAACACGCAAATAGAGTCATTCACACTCATCAAAAGTGGCCAAATTGAGGCATAACAGAATAGAATAGAATAAATAATTTTATTTTAGTAACATAAAAATTAGGATAAGCTCTATAACATTCGTTTACACTGACTTGCAGTTGTTCCAATCATTTTTTTTCTTTTTTGTCTTTAATAGATAGTTGTCTTATTGGCAATCATACAAAAGCTCATAATTAGAATATTGGCATTTATTATTTGCAATCACTAGAAAGATATTATGCCATCACAATGCTATTACAAAATCATTAAAAAGGCTCAGTTTTCATGCGGTTTTTAACGGTTATTTCACGGTATACCTTGAAAATTTGCTATGATTAAATGACCTACATTTACCGTGAAAAGGTCATGAAAATATTATACGTAAAAGTCCAGTTAAAATACAGTGAAAAGAAAATCATTGTTAAGTCCGAGATATTTCATGGCATAAGAATAACTTGATGCACGGTCAACAAAGGAGAAGGTGTGATAAACGCCTGAAATAGCAAAAATCCTAAAATGAATCAAGCATTTCAAAATTATGTTAATTTCATTGATTATCTTCATGGTGTTGTGTGATACAAAATAGATTCCCAGAAAAAGGAATGGCGAAATCCGTGATATGCTAAGGAAAACCCCCCAAAATAAATTGGAGACTAAAAATATGAGCTCGAGATGCACAATGCATGATATGGTTCAGATTCCTAGAAAGTTTAAATACTTTCTATTTATATGGGATATAGTTATATAATTATATGAAGCAACAGTGTTTTGTGATTGACTGATTTATAGTTGCTTGCTGAATGTTCAGTGGCGTCAGCGTTTTGTGATTGGCTGATTAGTGCTTGCAGAACGTTTAGTGGCATCAGCGGTCTGTGCTAGTGTAGTCACCGTCGTTTCAGATGTAACTTAATAGTCATACTTTCTTCTGACTTTGTGAACTTTTCATGTCATAGTAAAAACGACCAAATAAGATACATCTAAGTTTGTACATTTCATTTTGTTGTTGTTCAAAAACCTACATACACGTTCTTTGTTCATCATAATATGTATGAAATTTTAACTTGAAACGTTGGTTCTCTGTCACACCATTTCTAAAATAAATAATTGTCTGTTATGCGACACAAATCACCATTTGTCAAAGACAGGTAGGGCAAAATCTGGAAATAAAAATTAATCAATTCCAAAGAAAAAAAAACAAGTTCATTATCAAAGCAGAACAAAGCCAGAACACGCACAGTTTCTCAGGATTAACTCCTGAACAAGTATTTTATTTTCTTCGGGTAAACTTAAAAGTTTTAGAAGTCAGATTGGTAAACATTATACTACTGATATGGGCTACTAACAAACTCAGCTGAATTCAACCGCAGTTCATGCTGGTGTCACTGATCCAAGTCATAATGGTGTTTTTTTTTAGTATTATTTCAGTATTCATTGTCAGCAAATAGCACGGACCTTACATGGCCGGCAGTAAAGCCCTGTTAAAGTTGAGTGTCCGATTGCCTCTGCCCTGAGGTATGTACATAGCCATGCCAGGTTGCAACGCGGACGTTGAGCCCATTTCGTCGCATTTCGTCATGCCCCTTTTTTATTAGTAGTCGAAATTCCCAGCTTTTGTTTTTGTTATTCTAATTTGCAGAACCTACCTATAGTTCCAGTTTTTTTTATTTATTCTCGTTCTCGATATGCATGAAATATTTGTCACTATACGTTAAGCAAACAAGATTCAAACAATAAATCATAATTAGTGAATTCTTTATAAAATTCATTTCCAATTTGTTTAGGCCGGTTGGTTTGGATCTTGACATACAGCATGGACTGTCTAAATTAAAGAATGTTTTCATTTACTTTTTTGTGGTTGTTTTCTATATCATCGTATTTAACAGCTCTCCTTTCAGTCCTTCGTGATATTTTTTTTCCTTTTACATTTATAGGCAAAATGATTTTAATCGTGCAATGTAATACATAACTGATTCAGAAACATTTTAAAATTTAAACAAAATAATATTTAAGATCTCAATTATACAGGAAACATGAGTTAATTACGTGTATATTTTCTTATAAATAAACTAATACTATCAAAGGAAATTGATTAGATAAGAGTTAACTTCCGATTTTGAACATAATTAATAATAAATGAGGTGACAGCACTTGTAACAGCATATTAGGAGTTATGGTGTATGTTAACTCATGGCATGGTTTGGCATTCTGCGTCGTTACTATTATCATTGGTTTAGTTAATACTTTGAGGGGTAAGTTTTATTTCTTATTTACATTTTTATCAGATGGCAATTGTTTTAAAAGGTTTTTTTCATGGAACTTTGTATTTTTAAAGCCACCTTCTGTCAAACGTACAGGCAATCGTTATAGTCAATACAAGTGTTATTCTTTTTTCTTTCTATCTGACCTGTATGAGTTTAGCTATACACGTGCGATTTGTCAACGGTCTTACTAGGTTAAACTGTTGGACATCATCTTTTTTTACTTTGTTCAAAATGATAATGAATGGTTGAGAGATTTATAGAATAAATCAGATTATTATATTATATTTCTGAGAAAAACAACATCAATTTAAATCAAAATATATTGGCGTATCAGATTCATTGGTGTTAATGTTCAGTGGCAAATATTTCAAAGATATTTAAGAAGGTTGGCATCTATACAATAAATTAGAAATTAAATAAAACTTAATTTAGAACTTAAAATATATATGTTTATCGGGAAACTGTCCCAGGTAAATGGGAGGGTTTGGCGCCAACAAACTAGTTTAACCCCGCCACATTCTGTATGTGCCTGTCCCAAGTCAGGAACCTGTTATTTAGTGGTTGTCGTTTGTTGCTGTGTATCATATTTGTTTTACGTTCATAATTTTGTACATAGATTAGACCGTTAGTTTTCTCGTTTGAATTGTTTTACATTTGTCATTTTATAACTGACTATGCAGTTTGGGTTTTGCTCATTGTTGAAGGCCATACGGTGACCTATAGTTTTTTTTATTTCTGCGTCATTTGATCTCTTGTGGAGAGTTGTCTCATTGGTAATCAACCACATCTTCTTATTCTTATATTGAGAGTTTCTGGTGTAGTAAACATTTGTGGACAAAAGTTTGGAAAATCAAAAACATAAAACGATTGAGAGCTAAACTTAGAACAGTATCATGGACGATAAGACAAACTACAGTCCACAAACAGAAAACAGAAAATTAAGGGTTGAGGAACACGAGCCCGCAAAAACTTGGGGGGAACTTAAATGCTCTAGAAAGATACGCAATGTCTTCTCAACAATTCAACGTCCATGTATGCATATAGTGAACATTTTTTTTTTAAAGATCGAGAATATGGTCAACAAAAGTGCACATTTATCAATGTGTCACGTTGTAATGTTCTTGATTTGTAGGCCGTGTGCTTATGTCTGTCTCACTTTTGTCACGTTACGTTCTCATTCCTTGTCAGAATTTCACTCCTTGTCAGAATTTCATTCTTTGAAAATTGTCTACACAATTTTTCTTTTCTTGATGACAATAAGGTTTTACAATTTTGATTTTAATCAAGGAGGGAAAGGTTGCAATTACGTTTACAACATGCAATACTCTTTCAGTCGTTCGATATTGGGGGTGGTTAAGAATTTTATTAATGCCGAAATAAAAGGACTGTACCTCTCTGCAGTAGTCGCAATATAATATTTGAACCAATGGATACTGTGTGTCTGCACGAATTATATGGGAAATTTATATAGAACAATATTCGTTAATATTAAAGCGTAAAAGGCACGATTTGAAAGTTAGCAAACGTTGCAATAACATAAACGGTGCCAATTGTAATGCACCAGATGCGCATTTCGACAATTAATGTGTCTTCAGTGAGGTTCGAGGCAAAAATATTTGAATATCCCAAATCTAATACAAAAGTTGAATAGCGGATCAAACAAAAAAGTACCTAAAGTATAGCCAAATCTTGCTTTCATAAAACAGAGAACATTTTTTTTTAAATTGTACTATTATTGAAGTATTGTTTGTTTTAATTATGCCGTTAATTGATCTGCTGCACTTGAACGACATGCTTTTTGGTCACTGTCCATCTGATTTTATGTCCCAGGTTTTCTTTTTGCATTCATATTTAATGTATACAGGTACACTAGACAGTTATCCAAAAAATAATTATTAGCTTTACCCCATTTTTATAGAAATAAGTATTGCATAATTATGTGAACTTTGTATTTCACATTATGATTTGATGGTGATTAATAACTTTGGAATGCTGATCAAAGTCTTACTTATAAATTTGTTATTTCATAAAAAAAATTGAACTAATTTTCTCCATTTGTTTCTTGAATTTGCTAAATGAAATATCTTATACATTGTATCTAAAGGTCATTTTGTAAAAGTTGGACTTGATCTTTTTTCAGTTAAGCTATCATGCTTTAAATGTTTAAATCTATTCTCAGATGAAACTATACGTGTGTATTTAACTAGTCAAAATTACACGTGGTTTGAAGCAAGGAATCTCTGCAACCTATTTAAAGTTGAGTCTACGCATGTACAGATAAACGGATTGACCGTGCCTTCTCGTCTAATGTGGACACATGGGACCGCTAAATTTCTACCATGGGTAGAATATCTAGGTAATACAAAATTTAAAAAATTATTCTGTATGTCAAGTTTTACATAAAAATAAGGAGATGTGGTATGATTGCCAATGAGACAACTATCCACCAAAGTTCAAATGAAGTGGATGTAAGCAATTATAGGGAACTTTACGGCCTACAACAATCAGAAAAACCCAGACTGTATAGTCGGATATAAAAGGCCCGACATGAAAAATATGAAACAATTCAATTGAGAAAACTACCAGCCTAATTTACAACAAAACAATTCACGAAAAACAAATATGATAGACATGAACCAACGACAACCACTGAACTACAGGCTCTTGGCTTGGGACAGGCACATACAGAATGTGGTGGGGTTAAACATGTTTGTGAGCGCTAAACCCTCCTCTTACCTGGGACAGTAGTGTTACAACACAACATAAGAACAAACTATAAAAATCAACACAAAAACATCAAACAATAACACAAACCGGACGTGGCAGGGTATTTATACATCCCTCATCCCTAACAACAAAAAAGACACAAATTACCAATCTGAGAGTACTCGCAGTTACTGACAGCTAGTTATGCTCATTTTAACATGGGTGTGTACTATATTTGGCAATATCTTTATATCGAGCGTTAGCCAGTTGTAAAATTATAACAAATCTAACGCCTATCCATCTTAAAATGAGCATAAAGGATGACATGATAGAATATTAATTCTAATAGGAAGATTTATATTTTTATTCTTCGAAGCGGACCTCTAAGTGCACGTTCGAAAGGCAGCCATATTGGTTTGAAGAGGCCAAAACGATATAAAAAATGAACAGATACATGAACACTTACTTTAAGAATGATTTTATTTAATTTCCTAGCAAGCAACACCAACATAAACGTCCATTTTAATCTCCGACGTTGCTCAAAATACAGTGCGTTGCAATTTTAATTGTGACGACAATCACGCGCCCTCTATGTTCTATTGGAATGGGAACAGGTCTTTGTTTACAAAGCGAAAGAAAACGTCATATTAAAATAAATTTTTGTTCAAAAGGTCATGGCAATTATCCAGTAATCATTTGATCTACTTAGCAATTTACAAACGAAACATAAACAAAATGTTAACTGACTGTTATACAGGAAATCAAAAATAAAATCTAACCTATTAAATGCTTTTCATGTATTTTTAAAAACTATTATGCATTTTAAAGACAAACTATGAAAAAAATTGTTAATGTCAAACTTGAATGAACTTTTCACAAAGCAAAAAGATGAAATCTCCGAAATCACAATTTATTTTATTTTTTACAATTTAAAAAAGGTTGTTTTGAACTGCAAAAAGAAAGGATAAAGGAAACAAATAGTGTAAAAGTAGAAGAAGGAAAACAGTTATCCGAGTGCTTGCTGTCTTGTCAAGGATATACATTTATTGGCTTGCAGGTAATAATTATATTTATAATATGTTTAAAGGACCATTCCTGTTTTTTGTACCAAAAAAATACAGAACATGCTAATCTGAGATCGGTGCATTTGAACAGCTTCACGATGTAATTAACGAGAATCGTGAGTAAAATTTTGAAGAAAAAAGAAATAACATCAAGTGCATTTTTAACGGCAAACATTCATGGTTTTATTACCATTACAATTAAAATTACAATATAAGATGAATTCATTTCTTTCTCGAACCTCTGCAAGAAAATGTTTACACACGCGCATCTGTTTGTGTAAAATATGAAAAAAACGTTTGAGAATCAATTACCATTCCATATTTCATATGTTTCAGCAACAAAGGTGCATTTGCCTACGAGCTATCAAATGGACATCTAGATATATTAAAAGCCCATGTAATACACACCCGGTTAAATGTCGGGGAGATCCAGATGCTTTTTGTGGTAAACAAGATGTTCCGAAAGATTCCAGTTTCTTTTCTGTTTATCAAAAAGGTAAAATACAATGTATATATATAGAAATACTTCTAAATAAAATATTAAGGACAATACAAATTTTGATCTTTATATGCAACAAGTAAATTATGTTGAAGTACTTACATGTATATATTTCAATTATTTTGACTAGTGTTCTCGCAACAAATTAGGAACTCAGAATTAAAAAAAAGTGCAAAGTTGATATACTGTGTTGTATTCTTTGAAGTCTTCGTTATTAAGTTAAGTGGGTAATTTACCATACTGTTATTTTCTGGAAACTATGTGTTTGTTGTTATTTATTTTATAGGTAGTATAGAGTGAGGTGGTTTCATTGAATTTTTTTTTAAAGAACATTCTGGATATTTCCAGGGGTTCAAATTAGCGGTGGTCCGAGGTCCGTGACCTTCCACTATTGCAATCGGACTTTCGTTCTGGTTACTAGCTATACCCGACGGACCTTCGATTTGAAAGAAAATAAAAAATAGCTTTGCCGACCTTTTTAACCATCAGTATCGTCATGTCAAAGCCATATTACTATTGACATGGTATACCCCTCGAGAGCTCATTCAACCATTTTAACTGTCGGCAAAATAAGTTTGTTCACCCATTAGAAGTGATGAAAGTTACCTTAAGTAAATTTGTAATCATTCATTGCATTAAAAACGTCATATTCCCTTCCAAATAGCGTTTCAAACATCGTTTATTTTTGTAAATTTTCTCGTCCGCCATTGAAATATTTGTACAAACTACTGATCGGAGTCGGGAAACGGACCGGCTATGAATGAAATCCGGATTCTAATGACTAATGAATGGCACATCTGATCCCAAAGGGAATAAAATGCTCCGCTGGGCGCAGCTTGATACGACCGCAGAGGTCGAACCCTGAATAGTTGGGGCAAGTATGGACACAACATTCAAGCTTGATACACACTGAATTTGGATTGTGATTAAATATTTGACACAGCATAGGTTTCTGACACAGAATGAATGTGGTCTAAGAACTTATAAATTTTTAATTTACTTATTCAAACCATATCATTATTATTTGCTTATTATTTGCTTTTATATATAAATCAGAAATTACCAATTTAAATTTTAAAGAAAAAAAAGGAAAAAAAGGGGGAAAGAAATTCCTCCCCAAAAATTTTTTGAACCCCCTTATGATTCATCACCTCCAAACTCAATCCCAGCCTTCCCTTTGTGGTATGGTACCTTGCAGTACAATTTCAGAGAGATCCATACACTTGAACACAAGTTATTGTCTGGAAACTAGAAAAATGCTTGTTTTTGTGCCCCTTTTTGGCCCCTAATTCCTAAACATTTTGGGCAATTACCCCAAACTCAATTCCAGCTTTCCCTTTGTGATATGGAACCTTGTAGTACAATTTCAGAAAGATCCATACACTTACACACAAGTCATTGTCATGAAACTAGAAAAATTCTTGTTTTTTGCCCCTTTTTGGTCCCTAATTCCTAAAGTTATGAGGCAATTACCCCCAAAATCAATCCCAGCATTCCCTTTGTGATATGGAACCTTGTGGTACAATATCAGAGAGATCCATACACTAACACACAAGTATATGTCTGGAAGTTACAAAAATGCTTATTGTTGGCCCCTAATTCCTTAACTGTTGGTACCATAACCCCCAAAATCAATCCCAACCTTCCTTTTGTGGTATTAAACCTTATGGTAAAATTTCATAGAGATCCAATCACTTAAACTAAAGTTAGAGTGCGAAAACCAATGTGTCTTCGGACGACGACGACGCCAGACGAAGACGACACCAACGTCATACCAATATACGACCGCAAAATTTTTTGCGGTCGTATAAAAATTAAGCATTCATCACTTTCTTTTTTTTATGTAAAAATTTTTTTTCTTTATTAATGCTCGATATTTAGTTGGTAGTTTTTAACAAGAAAGGAACTAATATAATTGTGCAACATATGATGAACTGAATCCGGGTCCGTTCGCCCAAAAACACATTTGCTCCCATTCACGTTCGCCCCCTTTCACGTTCGCACCCTACACGTTCGCACCCCGAGTCCGTTCGCACCATTTTTATTGGTTTTGTGTTAAATAATTTTTCGATCGTTTTTTGGTTAGTGTATTGCTATAAATATTTGTTTGTTCAAAATGAAGTGACTTTCTAAAAACGGTTTTTGTGTTGAATAATTTTTAATTGTGTTTCGGTTAGTGTATTGCTATATTTTAATTTTTGTTTCTTCATTGTTTCAAAATAAAGTGACTTTCTAAAAAGTTTTTTTGTGTTGAATATTTTTTTTAATGTTAAGATACTAAACCGCTATTAAACTCAACAACAATAACATTTTGGATCTTCATTGTTTTTGTCTCGCCTTGACGGAGTCAAAAAGCGAGACATAGGTATGCTGGTTCCGGCGTCGGCGGCGTCAACAATGTATTAGTTTGTGATTAGGTCTAGTTCATGGTGAACCACTAGTGGGAGGTCAATGATATTTGGTATTCAGTTGTATTAGCATTGGCCCATCTCATTACCATGGAGATTATTTGGCCCCGCCTCCTCAGTCAAGGTCTATTGACTTTGAAACTTTTCATAGTTTACATGTATTAGTTTGTGATTAGGTCAATTTATGGGGAACCACTAGTGGTAGGTCAATGATATTTGGTATGCAGTTGTATAAGCATTGGCATATCTCATTACCATGGAGATTATTTGGCCCCACCCCCTCAGTCAAGGTCTATTGACTTTGAAACTTTTCATAGTTTACATGTATTAGTTTGTGAATAGGTCAATTCATGGGGAACCACTAGTGGTAGGTCAATGATATTTGGTATGCAGTTGTATAATCATTGGCATTTCTCATTAACATGGAGATTATGTGGCCCCGCCTCCTCAGTCAAGGTCTATTGACTTTGAAACTTTTCATAGTTTACATGTATTAGTTTGTGATTAGGTCAACTTATGGGGAACCACTAGTGGTAGGTCAATGATATTTGGTATGCAGTTGTATAAGCATTGGCATATCTCATTACCATGGAGATTATTTGGCCCCACCCCCTCAGTCAAGGTCTATTGACTTTGAAACTTTTCATAGTTTACATGTATTAGTTTGTGAATAGGTCAATTTATGGGGAACCACTAGTGGTAGGTCAATGATATTTGGTATGCAGTTGTATAATCATTGGCATTTCTCATTACCATGGAGATTATTTGGCCCCGCCCCCTCAGTCAAGGTCTATTGACTTTGAAACTTTTCATAGTTTACATGTATTAGTTTGTGATTAGGGCAATTTATGGGTAACCATTAGTGGTAGGTCAATGTTAATTGGCGTTCAGTTGTATAAGCATTGGCATATCTCATTACCATGGAGATTACCCCTGATCATTGTTCATTGACTTTGAAACTTTTACATAGTTTACAAGTTAATGTTTGTGGTTAGATTTGTTTAAAGGGAACGACTTATAATAAGTCAATGGTTTTTGGTATGCAGTTGTATTAGCATTGGCACATCTCATTCCATGGAGATTGTTTAGCCATGTACCTTCAGTCATGGTTCATCGACTTTGAATATTTACATAACTTACATGTTAAAGTGTTGCTATTTTATAATTTCAACATTTGCATTATCAAAATTACAAAAAGGCGAGACATATCTCTGTGATAACAGTTTATTACTCATACCAAGCTAAATACATGCTAACTAGTCTACATGCAAAATTTACATCAAAGCTATAGTTAAAACAACAATCACGATTTTCAAAAACATAACAATAACGCCAAGTTTAGCTGTGTAAACACCATGTTAACAGTTATCATACATAATTAACATATAACAATTAATCATCAAATCAATTTAAAACAATATTTCATTTAAAAATTCCCGAATTTTTATTTATGAAAATAAAAATGTTTTGATTTAAACATCTACAAAACATCTAAAGATTCATCTGCAGGTGTTTGAATAAAAAAAAAAGGGTGCGAACGTGTAGGGTGCAAACGGACCCAGGGGGCGAACGTGTTGCCGGGTGCAAACGTGTAGGGTGCGAACGTGTATTGGGCGCAAACGGACCCGATACCTGATGAACTTAAACAGCTATGAATTTGAACTGTTACTTTAATTGTATACTTGGTTACGAATTGAACAATATAAAAAAGATAATATATATAATTAAACAAGCTAACCTAAGAACAAAATTAATTGTGTATCTTACTGAGTTATGAAATATTTCAAATAAAGTAGGACCTGGGATTTATGTTGTGGACCTTTCAGTTTGGAGTGTCAAAGGTCCTGGACCTTCCTATACCAAATGTTAATTTGAACCCCTGATTTCGTTGGTCTAGATTTAAAAAAGAAGGGTCTAGTGTTTATAACACTAGTTTAATCCAGGCAAATTGTTAATTATTATATGTGCCTTCCTAAATCCGGAACAGCGTTAGTGATTGCTTCAAATATATCTTAACGTCTGTGTCCATATTCTGGAGGGTGGGAGGACTTTTTGCGGATTGACTTTTCATTTTCAGTTTTGCCACGCACACATATTTTTTTGTTTTATTAAATGCTCGTCCCCGTATGGAATTTGTTCCTGAAGGCAAATATTTGATAGTTCCATATAACTCACAGCTCTTTTGCTTTATAAATTCTTATTCGCAAATTAGATTAATGAACAATAGAATAACTGCTTGTTTTACTAAATTATAAGCCTGGTCTCTTTTGTGTGTTTTAAAACCACTGGGTCGTTTCTACTGCTGATGATATGGTTCGTAACCGAAGGTTTCACCGTCCAAATAGTCGAAGCTCTCGTGTTGACATGGAATATCATGAGAACATTTTTATGTAAATTACTGTTCATTATAATGTAAGCATCCTTCGAAAGCATCACGGTTTTCTATCCGAAAATATAAATGACCTTAACTATATCTAGCCCAAAATCAATTTTAAATTGGTATAATTTGCATACAATTACAATAAAAAGCATATTACAGTGTAAGCAAAGATTTTTTTAAGTAGGGATTAAAGATAAAGAAATACCAAGAGTTTTTTTTTCTTTTTTTTTTTAATTATCATGTACATTTTGTACGTTGTGTGATCGTTTTCATATATATTTATTTCATGGAAAAGCAAACGTCAGAGAATCAATAGGTTATGGAAACTGCATGGCTATTACCATTAGACCCAGCTCATCATATTTCCTAGCATTGCAATGTTCAACACCACTTTACCAACTTTGTCTAAGTAGTAAGTACTATGTATACTATTTCATTCAAATTCTTCATATTTTACTTAGTACCCTCCACGTAAATGTATCTTTCAGTTTTGTGCTTCGTAGGTTATTGTTAATTTTCACAATCGAGTTTGACCAAGTGTTTATACTACTTCCTGTGTTTCTGTCGGGTTTTTTTATGTGACTGTCACACAAGTAAAGGTTTAGCTAGCTATAAAACCAGGTTTTAACCACCATTTTCTACATAAGGAAATGCCTGTACCAAGTCAGGAATATGACAGTTGTTTTCTATTCGTTTGGTGTGTTTGAACTATTGATTTTGCCATTTGATAAGGGACTACCCGTTTTGGATTTTCCTTGGAGTTCGATATTTTTGTTATTTTACTTTTTTAGAGAGGGTTAGCTAGCTATAAAACCAGGTTCAATTTTTCTTCGTAAGATACCTGTACCAAGTCAGGAATATGACAGTTGTTTTTATTTTCAATTGTTCTGTTGGTTAATATAGTCGAGTGTTTGGTTCTGTCCGGCTTTTTTTTTTTACCCCCCCCCCCCCCCCCCCCACCTTTTATGATTTACCTTGGAATTCGGTATTTTTGTTAATAAATTTTGTATTGATTGAGGACCTTTCATTAATGAGCAAAAATAAATATATCTTGTAAACTAGGGCAGTCTTAATGATGTAAAACCCTGGCAGGGTTAATAAACACTAAAGAGAGAACTATGGAATGAATTTGTACATATATATACAACATCGTCATATTTACTTAGGATACATTGTATTCCCCGTTTACTCTTATTAAACAGAGAACCAGAATCAGTTCATCAAACATAGTTTCTGAATCGTAGATGGTTTCTGAAAACTTCCAATAGCATACTATGAAAGTATATGTCAAAAACAAGAACAAAAGAAAATACAATATCTCTTTCAGAATTTTACAAACTGACAATTACAATTATTGCAGTCATATTATTAGAAAATAAGAAAAACAAACAAACACAATCAATAAGCTCATATATTTCAGAATAGAAGCATGTGCTAAATCCTTTTCTATGACAATAAATCGATAAAATCTAAAATTTGTACTAGAGGTTGTCAGTTAGACAAACACACACACAGAATATTGTAAATATATATGCACATCCCTGCACTATTGTTTCGCTGACAATCACTGTACTTAAAACAAATTCAAACAATTGCATTGTTTAAATAATATACTGGTATTAAAATTTTTTCATATTTTTCTATCTTTACTTCATATATTATATATTACATGTATATAACTAAATAGGCGACTAAGGGTGTAGGAAGGGGTGATTTCTCATTCAATGACACAGAAGTGGTTTTTTCTCGTCAGGGAAGGAGGAATCACTAAATACCAGTATATCTTTGGAAATTTATTTGGAAAAGTAGACGCAACCGTTATGGAAAAGTTAAGCCGCCTACCAAAACCAATAACAACAACAACAATATGTCATAAGTATAGTTGTAATAATGTTAAGTGGTAGTTTAGTTTTATGACACTATAAAATTATAACTATATTACTGAACACGTCTATCCCAACGAACTTGAAATAAAGGATACAACAGATACAGTTAAGTCTGCCTTATATCTTGACTTACATCTTGAAATTGACAATGAGGGTTAGTTGAGAACAAAACTTTACAACAAAAGGGATGATTTCTGCTTCCCAATTGTGAACTTTCCATTTCTATGTAGCAACATTCCAGCAGCGCATGCATATGGAGTATATATCTCCCAGTTGATACGATATTCCAGGGCTTGCGTTTTCTATCACGATTTCCTTGATAAGGATTGCTGCTCACAAGGTAGCTATTAAACCAAGAGTTCCAAGTGGTGAAAAGAAAAATAACAAAAATACCGTACTCCAAGAAAAATTCAAAACGGAAAGTCCTTTATTAAATGGCAAAATCAAAAGCTCAAAAACATCAAACGAATGGAAAACAACTGTCATATTCCTGACTTGGTACAGACATTACCTTATGTAGAAAATAGTGGATTAAACCTGGTTTTATAACTTCATTCCTTCGAAATTTTTCCGGACGCCATCACAAGTTGGTTGACCGTTATGGAATATCTGTTTCGCAGATAACGACAGATATGTCCCAATTGTCGTAACCAAAATCCCGTCCTTTATTTCCCCGAATGTGACCTACCGAATTAGACTTATCACCGGGTTTGTACTTACATGAGCAGCACGACAGATGCCACATGTGGAGCAGGATCTGCTTACCCTTCAGGAGCACCTGAGTGGGGTTCGTGTTACTCAGTTTTTAGTTTTCTATGTTGTGTTTTGTATTTTATTGTTTGTGTTTTGTCTTTTTTTCTTTATGCCATGGCGTTGTCAGCTTATTTTCGACTTATGCGTTTAAAAGTCCCTTTGGTATCTTTCGCCTGAATTTATGTATGATTACATAAATGGCGCAGTTTAAATCTGGTCAATGCAGCTCTGTTGTATTCTGAAACCAGTAGTTTTTCTATGATCGCCATATTTCGAAAAATTGTATTTCTGTTAATATGTTTTTTAAATTCATAATGTAAATTGTTGATATACCTTCGATTGTATTAAAAAAAAGTAATCCTGTATTATGTTCATGTACAGTCGTATTGGGTCGAGGCGTAGCCGAGGTCCAATACAGCTGATCGAGACCCAATACAACTGTACGATAGCTTACTACCACTCCATTTTGACTCTGGTGGATATATAGTTGTTTTCTTGGAATCATACCACATCTCCTCACTTTTATACGATAAAACAATAAAAAGAAAACCAATCATCGAACAATATAAACCATATTTAAAACATCGGGTGTGCTTTAGAAGGGTTAGTAGTTCCTGCTCCGTTATTGGCGCTTATCCTTGCTAGGGTTGGCTTATCTGTAAATTGTGATTAGGAATCAAAATAATGACTGTGCAATCAACAGAAATAAGTCGAATTTAAACAAAAATAAGTGATATATTTGACTGATTCAGATACTTAGTCTTACAGTCTTTAATGCGTCGTGCATCCAAGTCATTAGCAACTTAAACCCTGAACTTTCGTTGAAACAATTGTATTAAACTGTGCTTAGCTTATTCGTTTTTCGCCACTGTTCTATGACAGAAAATGTCAGATAACTTGATGCTCAGTCATTTTATTTTGGTTCCTAGCGTTATTGTCGATAGACTTGCGAAATAAATGACTACAATCATGTATAATTATTGTAAAGTAGGATTAATGAATTGATCTACATCTTTAATCACCATGTTCAACAATCATACCTAAAATACATGACTCTCGATGACGACAATAAATCATATAGTAATAAAATAGAAAAAAAATCTAACAGAAAATGTTAGAATAATATCCATGCATGCCATTTGTGAAGGCTTATTGATTTTTTAACAGACAGCGTCTATTACAATGACTTCTATCCACGGTCCTATAGACACTTGTCATGGATTAGTTCTTTCCAGACGTGTCCTGACTCATACATGTTAGCCCGTTACAGTATGTTGCCCGATAACTCTCGTGTTACAGTCAAAGGAACATATTGGTTATCTAATACGAGAAGGTGGATTCAAGAAAAACGTAAGTTACAAGATTCAAAGCATACAAATCATTAGTTACAGAAAACTTCATATCAAATGAGCACCACAGACTTTAGTATGTTCTGTCACTGTCAATTCTCCATTTTTCTTTCCTAATTGTCTACCTGTAGCTATGATCCATGCGTTTCGTCTTGAAATTGGTACAGCAGGTATCCGGTGAAAAGCAAATCCTTTCGGCATAGAACTCCTCCAGTTAGTACAATTTACGATACAACAATGATCTTGTCCTCCCATACTACCTCAGGATATGGCTTTATATTGTTGTCAATTATGTCAATCACTTTTTATAAATAATCTGATTACAGTAATACCGATGCCGATCTGATAAATCAATAAACAGATAATGCCCCCAGTTCATCAAATCTCGTATCTAATCAGTCGATAACGCAAAATCACGATCGATCTTGCACATGCGCATTGTTTCCCTGAACTTGAGTATTCTGCAACAATTAACATAACATGAATGTTATACACAGTGCTATTAGTTTGAGGATACCAAGGCGCAATTATTGTGAAAGGGATAGTAGAAATAATGATTGATGACCAACTAGATCTAATCAGAAATAAAAATCAAAAGCAAGAAATTTGAAAAAATTAAGGAAAACGAGTTTAAAACTACATTTAACACAAAGACTGACATAAAATAATTTTTTTTTACCTTGCTTTTCTATTTTAGAAGAATAAGCAGTAACGATGTTTCGTATTTTACCTTTTATTTTAATCTTTTTTCCAATTTTTGTTTTCTATACAATTTTGTAGCAATTTCTGAGATTGAATACAACGTTTAATTTGCTTTATTTAGTTACAAACCCTGAATACTGCGTCGCTGCAAGAGTTCAACACAATGGCTATCTTGAAAGATTGCCCATCAGTTGTCAGGAAAAACTGCCTGGTCTGTGCATAACTCCATCATATAGTCCACAGGACAGTACAACTGAAAGAGAAATTTTAACTTTCCAAGCTCCAACAGGGGTCCCTAAGAGTGAACAGAATGGAAATAAAATGATATCAAAAGATCAATATGGAGTAACTGCTGGTCAGGCTTTGACTAAAAGTAAGTTTTATTCTTGTTATGATACTACAACAGCATGAAATGTAACAAGTGTTTATTGCGAACCATATGCGACTTGAACAATGGTCCAAATCTACAGACAAATGGGCCAAAAATATAAAGAATAGAAAATATACACCAAACAAATAAAGAATAGAGAAGAAATAAAGAATTATAGATAATAATAAGCAAAAAATTTAAAGAATGAAGAATAACGAGAAAAAAAATATAAAGAATAGAGAATATAACTTGAAGAATAGAGAAAAAAAGACCTAAAAGTTTAAGAATATACAGAAATGAAGGACCCCATCCATACCTTCCTTTATGTTCATTTTTTTGTAAAAATTAAGTCAAATGCTTGGAGATAGACAAGCTTTAAACGTATTATTAATCCTGTCTGTAAAGTATTTAATATCTAATTTTATTTGCGTTATACTGGGAGAATCATTGCACAGACTGAGTCAAGGTTCTTCGTGGGTTTAATTTAATGGCTACATACTTTACAGTAGCTATGTATGTGTCAACTTACGTATATTTGAAGAAAAGAAAATGAACAGTTCCCTTAGACAATGTTGACCTTAAACGGATATGGCTATTTTAGGTCCATGTTGTCATATAGCTCTTTAACTGTGTCGGTTCTAATCCATCTTAACCGCCTCGGTGGTATCGTGGTAGCGAGTTTGCCTCATGTGGAGGTGGTCGTGGGTTCGTACCTCGGCCGGGTCAAACCAAAGAATTTAAAAATTCGGATTTGCTGCTACTCCGCTAAGCACGCGGCATTTAGGAGTAAGAGCAAAGACTGGTCGGTTCGGAGTCAGAATAATGTGTCCGGGTAAGGTGACATGTCTTCCTGCAGACTGTTAACTTGTGAACTAGCACGTTAAAAATCCGGATCAGCGTGTCGGACTAGTACAAAGCAGGGTTAATATTCATAGTACATTAACATGTTCTCGTCCTGAGTATGCATATTAATTTGCCGCTGGACGTTAAGCAGCCATTCATGATCATCATCTAATCCATCTTTGGCCTTCAAATATTCGGCTATGAGCGTTCCTGAATGAAAGTAAATCAAGAAAAACGCTTCAAACGCATGAAATTCATAAATTGTTGTTTTTATTAAGTTTTAGAAAATTTATATAAAAAAAATAAAATTTATAGAAAACAACCATAACACAACAATAAAATCATAAGAAATATACATATTATCTACATCCCCCCCATAGAAAATAAGTTTAGTCTTGATCATTATGAAATTATCTTGCAGATTTGGTTCGTATTGGATTGATAGCTGTAGTAAGTCTTACATTTCTAGTGGTTCTTGCAATAGTTATTGTGTGCATAAGGTTTGTATAATATAAACTCCTACATAAAATAGTATCCATATGGTATTAGTAAACAACTCTACTGTATATTCAAAGTCAAATATTAAGTATTTAAATCCAAGCTCATAAAAGAGAGGTGAAAGACACCAAAGGGATATTCAAAGTAATAAGCCGAAAACAAACTGACATTGTCATGGCATAAAACGAAAAACTACGAAAAGACAAACAACAATACACAAAACACAACATAGAAAACTGAAGATTGAGCAACAAGAACCCTGCCAAAAACCGGGAGTGATCTCAGATGGTCCGGAAGGGTAAGCAGATTCTGCCCTACTAGTGGCACCCGTCGTTGGGCTAATGTAAGTACAAACTCGGTGATAAGTCTGATTCGGTAGGTCACATTCGAGGAAGAGAGGACTAGATTGTGTTTATGAGTACATGTACTCATAAGAGTAGTGCTAATAAAGTCATATATATATATATATGTATATGGAAGTGAACACAAGTTTATTGAACGAACTGCAAACAAGTTACACAAACTGATTCGTTGGGTTAAGAAATTCGCATACTATATCCTTCGTGCCGTTCTAAAATCAAGTACTAAGTGTTGTGACCAGCAATTAGACACAACGGACAATTATTTCAGATATAGTAAAAATGAATATGCTTAATGAAAAAGTCAAAAGTATTAGTGGAGAAGCCGCAACACGGTAATGATCAACCAATAGAGGAGATTCCGTTTCATATACAAAAAATAAAGGGGAGACAAATCACCAAGAGAGCAATAAAACACTCGATCGCAGAGGAACAGACAATACCATAATCTAATGAAAAAACGAACAGACATTCATCGGACTACAAACATTACACAGACATCTAGAGGATGAGCAACATGAACTCCACCAAAAAAAAACCTGGATGCTAGCCACATCTATTTTAATCAAAGTGTTAGGTACCACGTTAAATCATTGTTATTCTTTTATATACTTTTCGATTTTTCAATTCATATAGTACATTTGTAGTATTTTCTACAAGAGCATAAAAAGTTTAGTTTTACATATCTAATGTGACAAAAATGATGTTCAGTTAGGCTCATCTCAATTAAAAGGTTTTTTAAAAATGCACTGTGTAGGACTTTTTTCGTTTTTTTCCTCCAAATGAATCATGTTCGTATTTGGGCTTTCTTGGCTTTCAATTGGGTGAAAGTTTATTTCTATACACGTGACATGTTTTCTGAAATCAATATTATACGTTTATGTTAACCTAATTGTAGAATGAAGAGCCTTCATGCAAATTCTCAAAACCATTCACCGCCTGGAAAAGATGTCGTTTATGCAAAGGTTGAAAGGTCAATTATCCGAAAGGAAAGCACCAATCAAACAACAGGGCCGTCTACATCACATGACACATACGATCACATGGACCATCGTCGTAATAGAGAACACCCAGATGGAAGCACATATGATACAATGCAGAATGTTCGGATTGAGGAAGAAAATAACTATGATTTTTCAAACGAATCAGAAATAGGAGAGAAGTTGTTTATTTGCGGTTCCATGGATTACAATCAAGTCGATGTTGTTGAGACATCATAAAGTAAAGACTTATAAACTGAGTTAAATGTAGTATTAAATTGTTTTCGATGATATCCATATCTTGTGAAAGGAAGAAGAAAAGATGTTTACTGTATATCATATATCATATAGTTATTTCATAAGTTGTTAGTTTTGTGTTTTTTATTTGGATACAAAAAGAGAAACAGATAGCGAGAAGGAGCTATAAATATCTAATAAAACTAATTACCCTTTCAATTTAGAAGTTATGTCATTAAACAATTTTTTTTTCATTTAAAAAAAAATGCGCATGCATATCAGAATTGTGTTCTAAGTACATATTCCAGCTATGTTAATTTAGAGAAGTGACGTCACACGCAGAGGTGCCTGGGCAAGTACATGTATGTTGTTAGGAAGATTTTGTCGTATCTATACTACTAAAATAACGAGGTCCAATTTGTTAGCAGGCATGACGAAAAAACGACGAATCAAAGAATTCAACTGTATATATAACTAAAAGAGGGACGAAAGATACCAGAGGGACAGTCAAACTCATAGATCGAAAACAAACTGATAACGCCATGGCCAAAAATAAAAAGACAAACAGACAAACAATAGTACAGATGACACAACATAGAAAACTAAAGACTAAGCAATAGGACAATGGTGTTGATTAAAAGTTACACCATTTCAGGCCCTTTTGTTTTCCACATAATTGATATTTATACCAATAATTAACAAGTTCCGGGTCGAATCCGATATCGATACCTATAGTACCTGTTACCTAATCTGTATGTTCCGCCTCTGTCAGGCGCACCACCAAACGGTGTATTTAGGATTTGCTATATTCACAGATCATAATCACACTTGAACTTCGTCATTATACAGGGATTGACACTACTAAATTGAAATCATTGACCATAAAAATATATCTACAAATCAAATCAAATCAAATATTTTATTATTCCAATCAAAGTCCCACAGGGAGCATTTACAAATTAACAATTATAATTATATATGACAATATAAGCAACTAACATATGAGATTGTACAGCATATAATGTGACAGATATTATAATAAACATATGAAAATAACATTAATAATAAAAATACAAGTAGTTTCTGGTTGTAGTAAGAAAACCAGGACGGATTTAAACAGAAAGATTTTGAAAGCAGTGAAATCCGAGGCGTAGGTACTTTAATTCAGTTACGGAATCGCGATGTCGCGGGTGTGTTCTAGTGTTATATATTCATATAACCTAGACGAACGAATTCATTTGTAATTTTTAAAAAAAATATGTTTAAGTATCTACTTGCTATGCAAAAAAATTTTAGATTTGTTCCCGTCTAATATAAATGACTAGAAATGCGTTATGTCTAGACGTCCATCACAAAGATTAGAGCATAACAACGATCAAAACCGTTTGGTACATAGTCGCTAAGTTTACATTAAACTAACCAAATAATAAATTAATTGTAAAGTGGTATGTTTTTGGGACAAATTAGCCACAAATAATTACAAGCTGTCATGTACACTGTATAGATGAACGAACTTTAAGGTTATAATTTAAAATGTTGTAATTATAGAAAACATATGTTAATGACTGTCACTTTTGTGAAATACATAATATTCTAGAACACTTTAATCTGAATTTTTATGAAAATCTATAATGTAATGTAGTGTCTCCATGACCAATTAACAAACTGGTTTTCTGACAGAAACTACTATTCAAGGGAGAATTTTATTTACATTTTAATACATCATTCTCCATGGAACATACCTTTTGAAATTAAAGCAGGGTCGTAAATTGAGGTGTGTAACATACATGTAACACCGCATCGAAACAGCGAGATTGAGAAATATACCGATAAGTGAGCGAGTTTGTCCGATTTGTGGTCTGTTCTTGGGGATGACTATCACTAGTACTATGTGAATGGAAAAACAAGGGAGAAGTTTATACATTCATATTATACAGTCGAACCTTGTTGTGTCGAACTCGGTTGTGTCGAAAACTCGGATGAGTCGAAGTAATTTCTCGGTTCCGGTAAAATTCCCGTTTGATCAATGCATAATTACCTCTGATGAGTCGAAGTAATTTCTCGGTTCCGGTAAAATTCCCGTTTGATCAATGCATAATTACCTCTGATGAGTCGAACTCGGTTGATTCGATTACTCGGTTAAGTCTGTAGGTTATGTATAACTTTCAAAATTACAGTACTGTTACTTTCTTTCATTTTATGATTAAGTTATCAAAAAGTATAACAAAAATACCGAACTCCAAGACAAATCAAAAACGAACAAAATCAAACTCTATCAATCAAAAAGTGAAAAACAACTGTCATATTCCTGACTCCCAGAATATTTGAAAATCCATAACTTAATACAACCATTGAAGACCTAATTGAACCGAAAAAGACAAAAGAGTATAGCCAAATTGTATAAAAGAGGCTATAAATTTGATGAAGTAATCGAATAATACCAATATTGACCCAATATTGACTCGTAATTATAAGTGACCGACATTTTGAGTAGAAATGAACTCAGCCTAACAGGAGAAGAATCGCACCCCTCCTCTGAAATCGAGAGATTTTAAAAACATAAAAAAAACTAATGTCGCTAAACTTAGTAAATTTATTCAGTTTGCGTTTCCCCTTACCTCAAACCATAGATTCGCGCTTGTTTTATCCCTTATACCTTTCCCGAGTACATATGTATGTTACAGTAGAACGAAAAAAGAAAACAAGTGTCCATAAACCTAACAGAAAAGAAAAGAATGGACAACAAGAACCCCACAAAAAACCGGAAATGATCCCAAATACCTCAAACAAAAGTTAACCCTAGACGTCTTGGATTTTATCTTTAATTGTCTTTGTTAATCTAGAGGTAATTGATATTCGGCATGAGCAAACCAAGTTAAATCAAAATCAAAATATTTAAATACTAATCTGCGGTATTTGAATACGATAACAATATCGAATGTCGAATGTCAAATGCCTCAGGATTTGAAACATAGAATGATAAGCTATTATTATCGACTGGATAAATGAATTTTAAAATCCAAATAAAAACTGTAAGATTAATATATTTAAATATTTTTGTCTTAAGGAATTTTTTTGGCTGTTCATATAGCACTTATTCTAATATTGTAAAATATATGACAAAGGGAAATGGGGGAAAAGAATGCCGTTTATTTGGTTTCTGTTTATTTATTAATGTTGTTATTTGTTTGATTAGTTTGTTTTCTGTTGTTGTTGTTTTTTTTTTGTTTTTTTTTTGGGGGGGGGGGGGGGGGGGTCAATTAATGTTTCTCGATCAAAAAGTTTTTTTATTTTCTTTAAAGATATTTCTTTTCTATGTAAACATTGTCGGAATATTCGTAAGAGTAATAAATTGCATGTAATACAATAAAGTTAACTATATATAACTACTAAAATTCGCTATAATCGCAAAGTGTACACACGAAGACCACATGAATCACATGTTTTCTGAATAAATTATAAATTTAAACCTTGATCTTTTTACAGGTAAAATTCATCTCTCATGTATTATTCCGGACACGAGAAAAAGTACATGTGAACATTGTTTTAAGCATATGATTATCAAACATTATAACCTGCAAATTACATATAGGCCTAGTGTAAACTTTATAGGTTTATGAGTGTACATCTAAGTGATGACAAAAAGACGGATGTAACTGTCAATATGTAAAGTATCATGTGAAAGTGGTACTTTCTCAATTGCTTCCGTAGTAATTACAAGTAGTGAAAGTTCAACGAATGTGTATCGATTATTTTGTAATTTATGAGCAATGTTTGCGGATTAAAGATGTAAACAGCCATGCATTTTTTGTGGAGCCTCACTATTTTCTGTTTTTATGCAGTTAATTCTGAAGGTAAGTCATCATGATTTTAATGTATGATACGTAATGCCCAACTTCAGAGTGATCTTGTCATACATTTCGCCAACTTCATATCGATTTGTAAAAACACTTTATAATAGCTTTACTTCTTGTCTCTATACACACTATTTCCTACGGAGTCCTGTTGGTCTCATACAGATAAAGAGTTGTGATTTTTAAAGTAATGCAATGGAGATGTTTAGTCTAGCGTCTAGCGCTGAAGAGGTTAAGTCAGGCGTTTAGCGCTGAAGATGTTAAGTCTAGAGTCTAGCGCAGAAGATGTAGCGTCTAGCGCTGAAGATATAAAGTCCATGTAATGTGATTTCTTACGCTGTTGATATTTTAAAAAAATATAGCGCGTTAAGTCGTGTGCCGTAGTTACATTTGCAAGCGTTCCTGTAGATAGAAAATCGAGCGTGGAGATATAACGTCTAGCGCTTGAGATGCAGAGTCCACCTCTGGAAATGGAAAGTCCGGCGCTGTGTATGTTAAGTCTAGCACTGACGATATAAAGTACAGAAGAGAAGATGTAAAGTCCACGCTGTAGAAATACTACAAAATATAGCACTGAAGCTGGATTTTTCGTCGTCAGCGCCGGACTCCAGCAAAAGACCTTACATCTTCATCGCTAGACTTTAAACTTTACATTTTCAGCTCTTTACTTTAAAAACAACAACTCTTTACCTGTATCAGACCAGCAGGGCTCCGTAATACGTTATTTCCTACCCTGTAAAATAAGTCGAAGTTTATAAGGTATATTGTATAACTATCGCATTTGTACTGAAATGCATAGAAAACATACTATTACTTCCTTAAAATTGTTATGTTTGTAATGATAAATTGAAAGATGAAAGCACGTCTCCTAAAAAGACAAATAAATGTCTCACATATCTGTCATATAAACATTTATCTTCTTTTTATATATCAATATAAAATGTTACGCCAATAATACTCTAGTGGTCAGTACTTATATGTTGACATGAAATATCATCAATACGTTCTATTTCTGTAAATTTACTGATTATTTAATGGTGAATTATTCAAAACACTTAGATTTCATATCCCCAGGGATAGATAGCCCACTATGAGATGGCCTAAGCCATAATTTGGATTTTTGTTATCAGAGCTCTTCAACATCATATTTGATTCGGCCTTCTAACTGGTTTAATTTGTGCACCACTGATGGGTCTAATGTGGACGAAATGCGCTTTTGACGCAATAAATTATAAGCTTGGTATACTTGATAAGTGTATTCTTCTATTTATAAATCTT